TCTCAGTGCCCCTCCTCCCCCTCCCCCTGCAGTGGAAGCCGAGGAGGACTACCAGGACTACCAGTACTATGACTACGGGAACCAGGAGGACTTGGCGGGAGACGACCCCGACGCCCTTTCCCGGCCCGTGACGCCCCTGCAGCTGTTTGAGGGGCGCAGGAGCCGCCGCAGGAGGGAGGCCCCCAAGGTGGCAGAGGAGCAGGAGGCCCGCGTGCAGTACAAAGTGTGCATCTGGTGAGCCTGCGGGCGGCGGGCGGCGGCGGCGGCGGGCGTTCTGCGCCGGGCGGGCACCCAGACCGCAGGCTCCTCTCTGCAGGCGGAACGGCAAGGTGGGGCTGTCGGGCATGGCCATCGCGGACATCCTCCTCCTCAGCGGGTTCCACGCCCTGCGGGCTGACCTGGAGAAGGTGGGTGGCGCCCTCAGGAGCCCGTCCCCGTCCCGCAGCCCCTGCGGGTGACCCTGGGTGGCCGCCTCCGTGACCCTCTCCTTCTCTGCAGCTGACTTCCCTCTCTGACCGGTACGTGAGTCACTTTGAGACCGAGGGGCCCCACGTCCTGCTGTACTTTGACTCGGTGAGCAGGGGCGCAGGTGGGGGGCACTGCTCACCCAGCAGTCTGTGCGGCGGGGGTGGGGGAGGGCACTGCGGGTGGCCAGCGCTCCCAGGGGGGCAGGACAGAGGGAGGCCATGCCGGCCGGGGCCGGGGCGGCCGGGGCGAGCCCCTAATGTGGTTGGGGCCATGAGCAGGGGGGGTGGAGAGTGAGTCTGTCATGAAGCCGAACGTATTCAACCCGAGGGGGGCCTTCTGTTGACCGTCCTAGAAAGTGCACTTCCTTTTAGGAAGGGTGCTGGTCATAGATGAGTTGTCTCTGTGGCCTCGTTGGCTAAAACAAAGCTTCCAACCCTCTGATGGCCCTCAGCATTTTTTGGATGTTTACTGGGGAAGCTGGGGGGGGGGGGGCAGGGGAGGGCAGGTGCCAGCTGGTCCCAGGGGTGGGCACAGTGGCCGCAGCTGCCCTGGAGGCCGAGGAAGGAGGCCTGTGGTAGCAGTGTGAAGCGAGGCTGCCAGGAGTGCGGCGGGGCAGGCAGAGCGGTGTGGAGGTTGCACACCTGCCCAAGTCCCGACGGAGGAGCAGGCTGCCTGGTGTGTGGCGATCAGCGGGCAGGGGTTGGGGAACGCGAGGCAGGCGGGCGAGGGGAGGTCAGAAACACCCAGTCCGCAGCAGAGACGCCGGGAGCTAACCCTGAGCGGAAGTGGAGCTTCGCGTGGTGTGTCCGAGAGGCGACACACACAGGCAGGCGCTCGGGCGGGGGGGCGGGGAGGTCACCATCTGGGCAGTGAGGTCAGCAGGGACCTTGGGAGCAATGTTGAGTGTCTGGCAGCCGGAAGGTAAGAGAATGTGAAGGACACTGAGGATGAGACAGCGGACACCAGAGACAGGCCAAGGAAGTGGCACACAGGCCTGTGGGGCCTGACCTCCCCCCTCCCCCCGCAGGTCCCCACCTCCCGGGAGTGTGTGGGCTTTGGAGCTGTGCAGGAGGTGGCCGTGGGGCTGGTGCAGCCGGCCAGCGCCACCCTGTACGACTACTACAACCCTGGCGAGTACCGGGGCCCCGGGAGGCTGGACCGGGCCGAGGGGGCAGGGAGGTCCAGGAGGCAGGTGCCCTGACGCCCTCTCTGCTCTCCTCCAGAGCACAAGTGCGCTGTGTTTTACGGGGCACCGACTAAGAGCAAGCTCGTGTCCACGCTGTGCTCCGACGACGTCTGCCAGTGTGCGGAGGGTGAGGCCCGGCCGGGGTGGGGAAGGGGCCGGGATGGGAGGGTTGGGATGGGGTGGGGAAGGGGCCCTGGGCTGGCCTTGCCTCACCTGGGCCCTGGCTTCAGGGAAGTGCCCTCGGCAGCGGCGTGCCCTGGAGCGGGGGCTGCTGGACCAGGACGGCTACAGGATGAAGTTCGCCTGCTACTACCCCCGCGTGGACTACGGTCAGTCCCCGCCCTCGTGGTCTGGGGGGCGCCCGCAGGCGGCCGGAGCTCATTCCTCCCGTCCCGAACTCCCTCACAGGCTTCCGAGTTAAGGTTCTCCGAGAAGATGCCAGAGCTGCCTTCCGCCTGTTCGAGACGAGTGTCACCAGAGTGCTGCACATCTGTACGCGGGGCGGGGCGGGGCGGGGCGGGACCGCGCTGGGCCGGCGCCTGAGCAGACACCCCCAGAGCGGCTGAGCTCCCCTCGGCCTCTTGGGAGCTCGGGCTTGTCACGGGAAGGCAGCGCCTGGGAGTGGCGGGTTCAGTGGGGGGGTGCAAGGCTGGCTGTGCCCCGTCCCCTCTGACAGTGCTTGTCCCGCCCCCTCAGCCAAGGACGCCCAGGCCACTGCAGGTCAGACCCGGAACTTCCTGGTTCGAGCCTCCTGCCGCCTTCGCTTGGAACCTGGGAAAGAATATTTGATCATGGGTCTGGACGGGACCACCCACGACCGCAAGGGACAGTGAGTTCCCTGGGCCCTGGGTTTCTTGCTGCCCTCACCCTCCTGAGGGCGAGGATCCCAGCACCGGCCCCTGCCCCTCAGGCGCCAGGTGCCGCGGGCTCGCTCCCGTCTGCCCGTCCTGACCCCGCTGATGGCCCTTTGCCCCGCAGACCCCAGTACCTGCTGGACTCGAACAGCTGGATCGAGGAGATGCCCTCGGATTCCATGTGCCGGAGCACCCGCCACCGCGCCCCCTGCGCCCAGCTCCTTGACTTCATGCAGGAGTACGGCACGCAGGGCTGCCAGGTGTAGGCTGCCTCCCGGGAGAGCCCCCGCTGCCGAGGCTCAATAAAGACCTTCCACAGCAGCCTCCGTGCGTGTCTCAGCCCCTCCCTCCGGGTCCTGGCCGGCCAGGGTTTGCATCGTCTCCGTCTCGGAGCCTGGGCGGCCTGGGGGGCCTGACCCTCCCAGCTGACTCACCAGCTCAGCCCCTTTGGGCCACCCAGCAGACTTGTGGCCGCAGCCTGCGCCCGGGCCCCGGCCCCCACTCCAAGGCCGGCCTCCGCCCTGCCGCAGGCCTCCGCCGCCGGGTGGCATCTGCCTTCTGTCCTGGCGCAGTGCGGGGTGGGCTGTAGTTTCACCGAGACTGGTCCGTGGAAAGCCTGTGGGCGTGGCATTGGGAGCATCCCAGGGTTGCACAGCCCCCAGGTCCGGTCTCTCCCAGGGACTGACCTCAGCCAAGCAAAAGGCTGCCGCTGGCGTTTGCTGATCCTCCGAGAGACCCTTCTCCTGGGGTCAACCGCCCCACCTGCCCGCCTCGCGCCCTGCGTTTGGGGGCGGCCCAGGGTCTGCGGGCTGACCTAGAAATCCATCCCGCAGCCTGCCGTCAGCCATCAGCATGCCAGGCCCGTCCCCGAGGAGTGCTGCGGGGGCCTGTGGGCCGGTGGGGACTGGGTGGGCCTCTGCCCTCGCCTGGGAGGGGGTGGGAGGGCTGCCGGAGGAGGTGACATCTAAGAGGCCTCGGAAAGAGCGAGGCCGGAGGAGGGGTTGAGGTGGGAGAAAGGGTGTGAACGGCCAGGCAGGATAGCAGGGCGGGGGACACAGTGGCGGGGTTTGGATTTGGGGGGCTGTGGAAGGGATGGGGCTGGAGTCCACTTATGAAGGCTGTTTACAAGCAAGCTACTCTCTGAGGTCCCCCGCCCCCCCCCCCCCCAGATCTGTCAGTCCCAGATTCCGTGGGACTGACAGTCCTGGCCTTCCCAGCACTCCAGAGGCCGCCCGGGCTGTGTGTGTGCCCCGGGCTTGCCCGTCAGGCCTCGCTCCCCACAGCCGTCACCATGCCGACGGCGGGAGCCCGTGGGGAGAGCGGCTTCAGCTGCATGTGGTCCTGTTTGCTGCCCACCCAGCAGCCCCGGCCCACTGGCCCACATCTCCCAGCGGCTCTGCCACCCGGGCCGCAGTTACTTCTCCAGGCCAGCGGGGGGGGGGCGGGGGGGGCAGCTGGGACCTCAACCCAGGCTCTCCAGCCGCACAGCCTGTGCTCAGCACAGCTCTGAGGGGGGCCTCCCCCGCCCCCCACCCCCGTGCGGGGGTTCTGGAGCCAGGGCTGAGGAACCGGATGGCGTGGGTCACCTCTAACCTTTAACCCCAGGAGGCCTACCCTCTCCCTGAGCCATGCCCTTCTCTTTGGCAGGGCCTCTTTTCTGAGCGCCCAACCGACACCTCACCCCTAAAATTGGTCCCTGATCGTCCTACTTGGTCCAGTGGACCCTCTTATGGCCCCTGCTCCCAGATTGGGGCTGGCCCCGACCCCAGCTGGGGCTATTGAGCTCCTTCCTGGAGGCTTGGGGGGCACATTGAGTTGTGCTGGGAAGCCCAGTGTCCTTGGCTGGACCTTAACCTGTGGACTCTGACCCCAAAGGCAGTCCTGTTCGGCCGCCGAAGAGCAGGTGCCGCAGGTGGAGCAGGAGGAGGACGAGGGGGCCATCCCCAGGGCCTTGCTCTCCCCGCCCTGGCTCCTGCCCTCAGGGCCTGAGACACCCCTGGCATTTATAGAGCAGTTCCTATTTTTGGCTTAAGTTCCTCACGTTGGTCTCTTTCTTGAAACCAAAAAGCATCAGGCACATGGTAAGAGCTCCAAACTGGGGACCATACAGTTCTTCGTCTTCAACTTTTGAGAGTGAAATGGGGCAATGATGAAAATCACATGGGACTAACGCGGGAAACCCAGCAAACAGGCCACGCGGTCTCCGTGCGCGGGGAGCGCGGCACACAGACGGCTCAGCGCATCTGGTTTGCACAGGGGCCTGGGCACCTGGGCTGGGCGCCTGCAGCATGGCAGGGGGAGAGGGCGGGGCCAGGCGGCCGGTGTGGGCCGGAGGCTGTGCAAGGTCAGGGTCACCGTGCTCCCCTTCCGTTATTCGTGATGGATCACAGGAGAAAGGCCGTTCTTTGAAATATGGACTCCCAAGGTCAACAGGCCCGCTGCCCTCCCAAGAATGTGCCACCCTGTGGGCGGGCCGGTGGCCGGGGAGGCGAGGAGCCAAGGGCCCCGAGCGGCCGGCAGCAAGATGAATGGGGCCCAGAGCTATAAGAGCGGCCGCGCTCGCTGGGCCCGCAGCCATGCTGCTCCTCGCGCTGCTGCTGCTGAGCGCGCTGGCCGGCGCCCGCCTGCTCTGGGGCCGGTGGCGGCGCCGGAGCCTCCACCTCCCACCTCTCGCCCCCGGCTTCCTGCACCTGCTGCAGCCCAACCTCCCCGCCCACCTGCTGGGCCTGGCTCAGACCCTGGGGCCTGTGTACAGGCTCCGCCTCGGGCTGCAAGGTGAGCGCCCCTCCCGCCGGCCTGCCCCGGGTGTGGGGGGGGGGCCTGGGACTCCCTGCTGACGCCCCCTGCGCTCCCCAGACGTGGTGGTGCTGAACTCCAAGAAGGCCATCGAGGAGGCCATGGTCAAGAAGTGGGTGGACTTTGCCGGCAGACCCCAGATACCATCCTGTAAGGGGGCGGAGCGGGCTGGGAGGGCGGGGAAGGCGGCGAGCTTCCTGGCCGCCCTGACCCCTCCCCGGCTCGGCTCCAGACGCACTGGTGTCCCGGCACAACCAGGACCTCTCCCTGGGGGACTACTCCCCGCTCTGGAAGGCGCACAAGAAGCTCACGCGCTCCGCCCTGCTGCTGGGCATGCGCGGCTCCCTGGAGCCCCTGGTGGAGCAGCTGACCCAGGGGTTCTGTGAGGTAGGCCGCCCCTCCCGTCTCCCCTATGCCCCCCCCCCCCCCCGCAGCCGCCCTGCAGCCCGCTGCCTCCACAGAGCCTGTGGGCCCGGGCCGGCGCCCCGGTGGACATCCAGGAGGAGTTCTCTCTCCTCACCTGCAGCATCATCTGCCACCTCACCTTCGGAGACCAGGTAAGGCCTCAGCTCCCCCGCCCGCCCAGCCTCTGCCCTCCGCCCTCACCTGGCTGCACCCCGCCCCCCAGGAGGACGCCGTGGTGCGTGCCTTCCACGACTGCGTCCAGGACTTGATGAAGACCTGGGACCACTGGTCCATCCACATTTTGGACATCGTTCCCTTCCTCAGGGTGAGGCGGGGGCTGGGCCGGGGCCGGCCGGGGCGGGCGGGCGGGCCAGGCGCCCCTCCCGCAGCCACTCTCTTGCTCCCTGCCAGTTCTTCCCCAGCCCCGGGCTCCGGCGGCTGCAGCAGGCGGTGGCGAACCGGGACCGCATTGTGGAGGGGCAGCTGAGGCGGCACAAGGTGGGCGCCGGGGCGGGCCGCCCGGGCCCCGCGTGGGCTGCCGGAGCGAGGCGGCTCTCTCTCGCGCCGGCGCTCAGGGCCCCCTCCCCCCAGGAGAGCATGGTGGCCGGCCGCTGGCGCGACGCCACGGACTACATGCTGCAGGGGGTGGGCCAGGCGCCGGCCGGCCGGGGCTCCGGGCAGCTCCTCGAGGGGCACGTGCACATGTCCGTGGTGGACCTTTTCATCGGCGGCACCGAGACCACCTCGACCACCCTCTCCTGGGCCGTGGCCTTTCTGCTCCACCACCCTGAGGTGCGCCCTCCGCCGGGGGCTGTGGCGGGGGCTGTGGCGGGGGCTGTGGCCGGGGGGCTGTGGCTGGGCGGGCTGTGGCCGGGGGATGTGGCAGGGTGGGCTGTGGCCGGGGTATGTGGCCAGGGGCTGTGGCCAGGGGTGTGTGGCAGGGGGCTATGGCCGGCGGGCTGTGGCAGGGCGGGTTGTGGCGGGGTGGGCTGTGGCCGGGGGATGTGGTGGGGTGGGCTGTGGCCGGGGGGCTGTGGTAGGGCGGGCTGTGGCTGGGGGATGTGGCAGGGTGGGCTGTGGCCGGGGGATGTGGCGGGGGCTGTAGCTGGGCAGGCTGTGGCCCGGGGGCTGTGGCTGGGCGGGCTGCATCCTGACGGCAGAGGCGCCTGCGGGGCCGGGCGCCCGGCCCGCACTAGGCTTGCCCCATTCCCAGGTCCAGAGGCGGCTGCAGGAGGAGCTGGACCGCGAGTTGGGCCCCGGGGCCTGGCGCTCCCCGGTCCCCTACAAGGACCGCGCTCGGCTGCCCCTGCTCAACGCCACCATCGCCGAGGTGCTGCGCCTGCGGCCGGTCGTGCCCCTGGCCCTGCCGCACCGCACCACGCGGCCCAGCAGGTGGCTCCCGGGGAGGGGCGAGTGGGCAGCGGGCGGGTCCTGGCGGGCCTCTGACCCCCCCACCCCCCTGCCCGCAGCATCTCCGGCTACGACATCCCCGAGGGCACGGTGGTCATCCCCAACCTCCAAGGCGCCCACCTGGACGAGACTGTCTGGGAGCGGCCGCACGAGTTCTGGCCCGGTGCGAGCGGGAGGGGCGGGCCCGGGGTGGGGGGTGTGGGCGGTGCCGCTGCTGACCCCGCGGCTGACCCGCCTGTCCTCCCTCTCCGCCCGCAGACCGCTTCCTGGCCCCGGGCGGGAGCCCCGGCACGCTGGCCTTCGGCTGCGGGGCGCGGGTGTGCCTGGGCGAGCCGCTGGCGCGCCTGGAGCTGTTCGTGGTGCTGCGGCGCCTGCTGCAGGCCTTCACGCTGCGGCCGCCCGCGGGCGCCCTGCCCTCCCTGCAGCCCCAGCCGCCGGGCGGCGTCAACCTCACGGTGCAGCCTTTCCAGGTGCGGCTGCAGCCCCGGGGGGCGGGCGCCCAGGGCCCGGGCCAGTGACGGGCGGGATGCGGCCAAGCTGTGCCTCAGTTTCTCCTTTTATTGCTCTGTACACCCCACCCCCTGTAAACAAAGTGCTGTGAGACGGGGGGAGGGAGCCTCCTCGCGGGCGGTGGCGGCCCCGGCTCTCCTCGCGGCCCCTCAGTGCGCGGCGGGCGCCCGGTGCGGGAGGGCTGCTCAGCCTCCCCCGGCCGGCGCCCGGTAGCCTCGGGGTCGCAGCTTCATCTCCGTGAAGGGCACCGAGAACTCGAAGCCCTTCCAGTGGTACCAGCTCACGCCCTGGGGAGAGGCGGAGTCAGAGCCGCCCTGCTCCCCCGCCCGCCCGGCCCCGGCCCGGTTCCCCAAACCACCCACCGCCTCCCCGCGCCTCCCACCCAATAAACCAGTCCTCCCGAGCCGCCAGGCGCTGTTCCCTCCCGGACGAGGGCGCAGGGGTGGGGGGAGGGGGCTGAGGGGTTGGGGGGACTCGGTAATTCCTCGCCCAGGGTCTGCGGTCGGCCAGGCAGGCGCACCTGGTGGTCCACGGTGCTCCCGTAGAGCCCGTTGAGGTTGGCGTAGTGGCAGTTCCTGTACCACCAGGCCCCGCGGTAGGAGACGGCGCAGGAGATGAGCAAGTTGTTGGGGTCTCGGTCTCGGGCAGAGAAGACACTGCCACTGTGGTAGCTCATGGAGTCCCCTGCGGGGGGCAGGGTGCCAGTGAGGGCCTCCCCACCGCCCCGCCCTCACCGCCCTCACCGCCCTCACCGCCCTCACCGCCCCGCACAGGCCCAGCCCTCACCGCCCTCACCGCCCTCACCGCCCTCACCGCCCTCACCGCCCTCACCGCCCTCACCGCCCTCACCGCCCTCACCGCCCTCACCGCCCTCACCGCCCCGCCCCCTCACCGCCCTCACCGCCCCGCCCCCTCACCGCCCTCACCGCCCTCACCGCCCTCACCGCCCTCACCACCCTCACCGCCCCGCCCCCTCACCGCCCTCACCGCCCTCACCGCCCCCTCACCGCCCCGCCCCCTCACCGCCCTCACCGCCCTCACCGCCCTCACCACCCCCACCCCGCCCCCTCACCGCCCTCACCGCCCCGCCCCCTCACCGCCCTCACCGCCCCGCCCCCTCACCGCCCTCACCGCCCTCACCGCCCTCACCGCCCTCACCACCCTCACCGCCCCGCCCCCTCACCGCCCTCACCGCCCCCTCACCGCCCTCACCACCCCGCCCCCTCACCGCCCTCACCGCCCTCACCGCCCCCTCACCGCCCCGCCTCCTCACCGCCCTCACCACCCTCACCGCCCTCACCGCCCTCACCACCCTCACCGCCCCGCCCCCTCACCGCCCTCACCACCCTCACCGCCCTCACCGCCCTCACCGCCCTCACCGCCCCGCACAGGCCCAGCCCTCACCGCCCCCTCACCGCCCTCACCGCCCTCACCGCCCCGCCCCCTCACCGCCCTCACCACCCCGCCCCCTCACCGCCCTCACCGCCCTCACCGCCCCCTCACCGCCCCGCCCCCTCACCGCCCTCACCGCCCTCACCGCCCTCACCACCCCCACCCCGCCCTCACCGCCCTCACCGCCCCGCCCCCTCACCGCCCTCACCGCCCCGCCCCCTCACCGCCCTCACCGCCCTCACCGCCCTCACCACCCTCACCGCCCCGCCCCCTCACCGCCCTCACCGCCCCCTCACCGCCCTCACCACCCCGCCCCCTCACCGCCCTCACCGCCCTCACCGCCCCCTCACCGCCCCGCCTCCTCACCGCCCTCACCACCCTCACCGCCCTCACCGCCCTCACCACCCTCACCGCCCCGCCCCCTCACCGCCCTCACAGCCCGCCCAGGCCCCGCCCCTCACCGCCCCGCCCTCACTGCCCCGCCCCTCACCGCCCTCACCGCCCCGCCCTCACTGCCCCGCCCCCTCACCGCCCTTACCACCCTCACCGCCCCGCCCAGGCCCCGCCCTCACCCGCCGTGCCGCGGTAGCCCTCCAGGTGCAGGCGGTAGTAGTCAGCAGCCGAGTCCACCCGGAAGGAGTCGTACTGGGCGAAGGCCACCTCGGCCCCGGCCCGCAGGTCCACACGCATGGAGTAGTCCCCGGCGCTCGTCAGGCTGTGCAGGGCCTCGTTGCCTGCGGGGGGACCCTGCTCTCACCGGGCTCCGCTGTGCACCAGCCCCTTCCCCGTCCCCCACCCTGAGTGGCACTGACCCAGCCAGAACTCCCCGGAGAGGTTCCCGAAACCGTGGGCGTAGTCCTCCCAGTCCCGCCAGAAGTCCGTGCGTCCGTCCATGCGGCGTTGGAACACCTGGGAAGCGGGGGGGGGCACCGTCAGCCTGTGGGCCCTGGCACATCCCGCCCGCCCCGCAGGCCCATGCCCGCCCCGTGCCCACCCCGCCGGCCCGCCCCCGTTGCACCCACCAGCCAGCCGCCCCCGTCCGTCTCCATGTCACAGAACACGTCCAGCGGCCGTGCCCGGTCCCCGTTGAGGAAGATGGTGGTGGTCCTGGAGTTGCCCGCCCCATTCTGCATCTCCTCCCCACAGTCCCGGGGGAAGGGGACCTGCAGTCCACCTGGGGGGGCATAGGGAGGGTCAGTCCTCCTTCCAAACCGCAGACCCCTGCTGCCCACGCAGCCCCTGCCCGGCCCGCCCAGGCACCGGTGGTGAAGGCGGTGGACACGGGCGGCGAGAGGCCCTCGCCCCACACGGCCCGGAGCCGGGCTCTGTAGGAGGTGGCGGGGAAGAGGCCCCGGAGCTGGTGAGAGGTGGCGCTTCCCGGGAGCAGGATCTCCTGTGGGCAGAGAAGGGCCGGTCGGGGACACGAGGCGGAGCCCGCTGGGGAGGCAGCGGCAGAGGCAGCCCCGGAATGGAACAGGGAGAGCCGTGGCCAGGGGTGGAGGGTGGGGCACCTGGGTCGGTCCGTCAGGGGCGTCGTAGGAGAGCACGTAGCCGGTGGGCAGGACTTGGGGCTCAGTCCACGTAAGCAGGGCCGTGCGGGGCGTCACTTCTTTGGCCTCCAAGTCCTGGGGGCCTTCCAGCCCTGGTGGGGAGTGGGGGAGAGAAGATGGAGAGGAGCCCTTTGCACCTGCCCCCGCCCCTCTCCCGGGCGGTACCTGTGGTGAAGGTGATGCTGGCTGCAGAGGTGAGGTTGGGGCCCCGCAGGCCATGCACGGTGGCCGTGTAGTTGGTGTGGAGCTCCAGGCCCTGCAGGGGGTAGTCCACAGCGCTGCCCGGGGCCGAGGCCTGCAGAGGGGGGGCTGGCCATGGTGGGGGGCGTCAGAGGCTGCCCTCGGCTCTGCCACAGCCCAGGCCGCCTCTGCTCTCCCTCCCGCCCTCGTCCCCTTGAGCTCACCGCCCGGGGCTGTGACCATGACGGCATAGGTGTCCACCGGAGCCTGGGGCGGCTTCCAGTGCAGCTGGGCCGTTCCCTCCGTCAAGTTCAGCGCACGCAGCTGGGTGGGGCCGTCTGGAACTGGGGGGCGGGAGGCTCAGAGTGGACCTTCCTTCCCAAACCCTGCGGGGCCTCTGGCCCACGACTGGGCCCTCCGACACCCTCCCCTCTCTGGCCCCTCAACCAGCGCCGCCGTGGCCTCGCGCCCGCCCGGCCTCTCACCCGCCCGGCCTCCCGCCCGCCGGCCTCTCACCTGTGGTGAGGAAGCCGGTGAGCGGCTCACTCTCCTCGAAGCCTCGCACAGACACCACGGTCACCTCGTAGTGAGCGCCTGGGACCAGCCCCTGGAGCTGCTGGGTCCGGGCTGCGCCGCTCACCTGCACGCTGCGGGGCTCCCCTGAAAACACAGCGGGCTAGGAGCCGGGGAAGCGGGGGGCGGGGGGAGGGCGTGGGGGACACCAGACCAGCGCGGACATGGGCAAAGGGGGTCACCTCCGTCCACCAGCTGGTAGGACACTTTGAAGCTGTCGGCTCTGGACAGTGGGGGTGTCCAGCTGACCTTGACCGAGGTCTCCCCAATTTCGCTGAACTGTAGGTCCCGGGGGCTCTCCAGAACTGAGGGAGAGGTGTGCGGAGTAACGGGGTGAGCCACGGGGGGGGGCTCCCGTCCCGGATGCCCCTCCCGCCCCGGGCCCGCTGACGCCCAGCGCGGCCGCTCACCTGGGCTGAGGGTGCGGGCGGTGCCCTGCACGCTGTCGGCCTGGTGGGGCCCGCGCAGCCCGTACAGCGTGAGGCTGTACAGCGTCCCGGGCCGCAGGTCCCGGAGCACGGCTGAGAGCTGCGAGCCGGGGACCGTCACCTCGCGCTGCAGCAGGGGCCGCGGGTGCGGCTCCAGGGTGCTGGCCGCCGGGACCCCGTAGCGGAGCAGGAAGGAGTCGAAGGCCCCGGGGGGCGCCTCCCAGCTGAGCCGCATGGAGCTGGTGGTCACGTCGGTGACGGACAGCTGGGACAGCCGCGGCCCTGGCTCCCCCGGCGTCCGCCCAGCAGGCGCCGACCCTGCCCGGAGCGGAGGGAGGAGGGGTGAGGCAGAAGCGTGCCCGCTGGGAGACTTGGGGCAGGTCCCCCGCACCGCCAGCCCCGCCCCGGGCCCTCCTGTGCAGGTGGCGCTGAGGAGGGGCTGGGTCCCCAGCTCCTGCAGAGCCAGGCCTGCTTGCCCGGCGCTTCCTCCCCACGGCCCCTCATGTTCTTCCCCTGCTCGCCGCCCTGGGCCCCCCGCCCGCCCACGGGCCGCCTGGCGCTACCTGTGGTGCCCTCCGCGGAGACGGGCCCCAGGCGCCTCCCGTGGTGGAGGCCGTAGAGGAAGAACTTGTAGGGAGTGCTGGGCTCCAGGCCTGACACGCGCACCTCGTCCTGGTCGCCACCCACGAGCAAGGCCTGGGGCTGCCTGTCCGCGTCCCAGTACTGCACCACGAAGGAGTCGAAGGGGCCCCGGGCCCCCGTCCACGCGAGGCGCAGGGAGTCGGGGGCGCTGTCGGTCACGGCCAGCTCCCCCAGGCGGGGCCCTCCAGGGGTCTTGGGGGCCTCTGTGGCAGCTTGCCAGGGGGCGGGTGTGTCCTCTTCCGGAGCTGGGGGAGAAGCCCAGGGGAGGAGCTGTGTGTGTTTGAGCATGTGTGTGTGCATTCGTGTGTGCATGTCTCGTGTGTGTGCATGTGCGTGTGCGCACAGCAGGCCCTCCCGACTCCATTGTGTCGGCTCCTGAGTGGCCCAGGCCTGAGGGTGACCTGGCGTGGAGGCCAGGTGGGGGAAGGAAAAACAGGCCCTTCCAGCAGCTTTCTTCTCTGGAATCTGCCACAGCCCTGCTCCGGCCCAGAGCCTGCACCGGGTCTCCCCACCCACACTGTGCTGAGGGCCCGGGGTGGAGGGGGCTGGAGAAGAAGGGGCAAGCCTGGGGCTGCCGCTGCTCCAGAGGGCAATGGGGAGAGGGGCGTCTTAGAGCTGCCTGCACCTCAGCCTGGCACCTTCCGGGGGCGTGAGGGTCTGGGAAGGGTCTCGGCAGTGGGACCCGAGGGGACAGACCACGCTGGGGGAAGCAGCCCAGACTCCGGCCCGCTGTGAGCTGGCGCAGGAAGTGAGGAGAAACCTCTGCAGGGGAGAGGAGTGGTGGGCTGCAGAGAGGGGCCTTGGTTTCCCTGACCCCCAGGCCCCTGGCTGAGTGGTGGCCAGAGCTCACGGCCGCCATCGCCTTTCCTGGCCACCCCCTGCTTTCTATCGGCCTGGGCCTCCTCCACCCACTTCCTCATCCCCACACACACCCCTGGCCTCGCAGCTGGTGAGGAGGGGCGGGGGGAGCCGGGCAGGGCCTGCCTGCTGCGGGGGGGACCCTCATGGAGAAGTCTGTCTCCAGTCCCATTGTGACGGTCCAGCGAAGAGAATCATGGAGTCCGAGAGCCCCTGGCCCCACCTGGCCATGCGCCCCACCCTTGTCTGGTCTGTGGCTTGTGGTCCTGACAGTGGGTGAGGGTCGAAGACCCCTCTACCCTCCCTATGACACCAGCCACTCCCGTACCACCTCCTGCCCCTGGGCTGGGCGGAGGGGGATGCAGGCGTTTACAAGCTCCAGGAGCTTGTTCATAACCACTGGCAGGCGCAGGGACAGGGCAGGGTGGCTTGTCCAGCCGGCCTCTGGGATGGGAACACAGGCCTGCAGGCCCAGGGCCCCTACTGCATCGCCAGCAGGGCCTGGAGGGACGCGCGCACAGCCAGTGCCCAGCGCGGGCCGGGCAGGGCCGGGCGTTTGCTTTGGTGCTGTGGCTGCCGCGCCCTGGCCGGCTCTGGGGAAGTGGGAGCGGGCTGGGCTCACCTGTGGTGCCCTCAGCAGAGACGGGGCCCAGCTGCTGGCTGCCCGCCAGCCCGTAGAGCAGGAACCTGTACTTCCGGTGGGGCTCCAGGCCGCTGACCGTGGCCTCTCGCTGGTCTGCGGCCACCGGCACCGCCCGGGGCTGCCCGTGCCTGTCCTTGTACTGGACCACGAAGGAGTCGAATGTGCCCTGGGGGACCGTCCACGAGAGGCCCACGGAGTCTGGCGTCACAGCTGTCACTGTGAGCTCCCCCAGGCGCGGCGGTTTGGCATCTGGGACTGGAAAGGAGAGGGAGGTGCATGGAGAATGGCAGAAAAGGTGACCCAAGCAGACGGGCCACGTGTCAGGAAGGGGAGGCAGAGGAGGGACAAGAGAGCAGCCGGGAAGCCCAGCCGGCATGCACCGAAAGGTCACCGGTTCGATTCCAGTCAGGGCGCATGCCCGGGCTGTGGGCTTGATTCTCAGTGGGGGCGTGCAGGAAGCAGCCGGTTGATGTTTGTCTCTCATCATTGATGTTTCTATCTCTCCCTCTCCCTTTCTCTTTCTAAAATCAATAAAAACACTGAGGATGGAGCTTGCAACCCAGGCATGTGCCCTGACCGGAATCACACGTAGGACCATGCAGTCCTCAGACTGACACTCTAGCCCAGTGGTCAGCAAACTGAGGCTCGTGAGCCACATGCGGCTCTTTGGCCCCTTGAGTTTTTAGCGGAGGCCAGCTTAGGAGCACCCTAATTAAGTTAATAACAATGTGCCTACCTGTATAGTTTAAGTTAAAAAATGTGGCTCTCAAAAGAAATTTCAATCGTTGTACTCTTGATATTTGGCTCTCTTGACTAATGAGTTTGCCACTGCTGTAGCCAAACCAGCTGGGGCAATAAAAATATATTTTTAAAAAAGACGATCCATGGAAGAAGGGGGTGTCCCTGGGGCTAAGAGGACAGGGAGAAGGATGGGGTGAGGGACCGGGAGAGCGCAGGGCTGGATCTCACAGGGCCCCTCAAAGACACAGGCCCCAAGGTCTGCAGTGTGGAGCACAGAACATGACCTTCCCACTGCGGCCGCAAGGGGGCGAAGGATGGCCAAAGGCTCCAGGGGGAAGGTGGCCTCTGGGCCGCACTCACTGGTCTTAGCGTCGGCAGAGAGTGGGCCGTGCCTTTGCCCGTCCCGCACTCCAAAGAGGAGGAATCGGTACTTGTGGGCCGGGGCCAGGCCGGAGACGGTGGCCTCCCGGAGGCCTCCGCCCAGGGGCACCGCCTGGGGCTGCCCTTGCGCGTCCTGGTACTGGACCAGGAAGGAGTCGAAGGGGCCCCCGGCCGCCATCCAGGACAGGTGCACCGAGTCCGCGGTCACGGCGGCCACGGCCAGCTCCTCCAGGCGGGGCGCCCCCGGGGGCGCCGGGGGCAGGGCGGCTGGAACAGAGCAGAGGAGGCTCGGGGTCAGCGCCCCAGACAGGGGTCCTTTCCGGCTACGGAACAAACACTGAGCAAACAGCCCTCAGTGGTCACGGGGCCGGGCCAGGGAGGTGCCGCTCCTGGCAGCCCCTGGGGGCGGCTGCGGAGGGAGCACCTCGGCTCACAAAGGGCCAGTGCGTCCCAGCAGGAGCCGGGCCCAGACCCGAGGCAGTCGGCCTGGCTCCACCCTCCGGGCCACCGTGCCGCCCAGCCAGGGCCCCGAGGCCGCACAGAAACACGGCAGCAGCCAGAGGCTCCGCCAGGGAAGGAACTAAGCTACCGGGTGAGGCCAGGACACTGAGCCACGGACAGCAGTCTCCACCTTCCTCCGGCACCAGAGGACGGGGGGCCGGGCACCGGGAAAGGAGGGGGCCGGCCCTGTGAGGAGGGGGCTGAGGGGAGAGCGCCCGCCGCGCACTCACCGGTCAGGCCCAGGGCAGCCACGGGGCCCACGCGCCGGCCCCCCTGCAGGCCGTACAGGTGCATCTTGTACTTGCGCCCCGGCTCCAGGCCCCGCACCGTCACCGCGCTCTCCTCGCCCCCGACACGCACCACCTGGGGCCGCCCGTCCCTGTCCTTGTACTGCACGGTGAAGGCGTCGAAGTGGCCCCGGGCCACGGTCCAGGCCAGGCTCAGCGAGTCCGGGGAGGCCCCCGTCACCGTCAGCTGCCCCAGCACGGGCTCCTCCGCGCTGGGCTCCGGGGGGCCGGGGGGCTCGTCCTCTGCAGCGAGAAGGACACACAGGGAGGTGAGGCAGGCTCCGCGGGGAAGTCCCGTCGTCTCCCGGGCCCTGCGGGCGCCCAGCGGGCACCACGGCCCAGCCCGGAGCACAGGGGCCCTGCGCCCATCGCCTCACAGTGCGAGCTGCAGGCCCCGGCGCCCCGCCCACTCACCCGTCACCCCGGTGGCGGAGGCGGGGCCCACGCGCTGGCCGGCGTGGACGCCGTACAGGTGCATCTTGTACTTGTGGGCCGGCTCCAGGCCCGAGATGGTGACCCCGGCCTCGTGTCCCGGCACCCGCACCGCCTTGGGCTGCCCGTCCCCGTTCTTGTACTGGACCAGGAAGTGGTCAAACTGGCCCTCGGGGACGGTCCAGGCCAGGCTCAGCGAGTCCGGGGAGGACCCCGTCACCGTCAGCTCCCCCAGGCGAGGCTCCACGGGGGGCTGGGGGGTGGTGCTGGGCGGGACTTGGGTGGTCACAGCTTCGAAGTCGGGAGCTGGACGAGCTGGAAGGAGACGTGGGGGACAGGTGAGGTCTGCTCCGCCCTCAGCGGAGGGCCCATTGCAAACATAAGACAGTGAGGAGCCGAGTCTGCCGTCCTCAGAGCTCTGACTCCAATTCTTTCTGGTCCCTCTAATGTCTCCTCCAACCCTCACAGTCAGCCTTCCTCCCCCGTCTCCCCCGCAGCACCCCTGTAACCCCTCATCCAGCACCGCCTCCCCCACCCCACCAGCACCCCTGGGCCCCTCCTCCAGCAGCCGCCTCCCCCACCCCACCAGCACCCCTGGGCCCCTCCTCCAGCACCGCCTCCCCCACCCCACCAGCACCCCTGGGCCCCTCCTCCAGCACCGCCTCCCCCACCCCACCAGCACCCCTGGGCCCCTCCTCCAGTACCGCCTCCCCCACCCCACCAGCACCCCTGTGACCCCTCCTTCAGCACCGTCCCCCCACCCCACCAGCACCCCTGGGCCCCTCAGCACAGGCTCTGCTCTGAACACAGGCCCATGGTCCCTGTGCGCTGGGCCCCCTGCACTGGGTCTGGGGGCATCTCACTCCTCTGGCTCAGGACTTGGCTCCCAAACAGCTCAGCCTCCCTGGCCCTGCACCTCCGCGGTCCTCAGCTGCCCGGACCTACCTCTCTCTGAACTCCTCCCCCATCTCCCCTCCCCACACACCTGCAGCCCAATGTCCTGGCCTGGCCACCCCCACCAATCCCCTGTGCTCCCCTTTCTCCTGCTGTTCCCGCCTCCCTCCCACCCCTCTGCTCAGGGTCAGAAAGGGACCGGAAACGCTCGGTGATGGAGCCGTCTTACTTAAAGCTGCACAACCCTCTGTGCCCGCAGGAGCCCTGCTGCCTGAGCTGCCTACCTCTGCACCCCTTCTCGGGACTGCCCCCCACTCCCAGCATTCCACCCAAACCCCCCGGTGCCCCCGTGCTCCCCGTCCCCAGCCTTTGCACACTGTGCCCCCGTGGATGTGACCCACTCTGTCCTATGGTGCTGTTACCGTGCCGACGCCAGCTTGACCGCGGCATCAGCTGTCCTGGGGGAGCGTGGACGGGCTGCCTAGGCCTCACAGACCGGGCCTGGCCTGCCTCAGGGCTTCCTGTCATTACCCCTCCCCGCATCCCCCCGCTTGGCCTGTTCTGTGGGTTCCCAGCCTGTCTTCCCACCACCGGGAGCCCCATTAGGATAAGACCTTGTCTCTCTGCCAAGTTCAAGGTCCACCCGTGAACTCCCGCGGCGAGGCCCAGGGCTCCCATGTTGGCTGACCCCCCGTCCTAAGTCTGGAGAGGTCTGACCCTGAGGTGGGGGCGCTGCGGCCAGAGGCTGCCCCTGAGCTCCTCCAACCCGTCAGGCCTCCAGGCGCCAGCGAGGCCAGCGGGCGGGAAGGAAGGGATGCGGGCGGGACTGGCTCCCACAGGCTCTCAGAGTGTCCGCCCCGGGCCGTGAGGTGTGGCCCGAGCGTGGAGACCAGCAGCATCACTGCCCAGGCCCCTGTGGGGGAGCCACTCTGCAGCCCAGCCCCTGCCCAGGCACGGCCTCCACCCGGACCCCAGGCCAGCGTGGAGCCGGGGGAGGGTGTCACTGGTGTTTCCACGAGGATGGCGACAGAGGGAGTCTCCCAGGCCCTCCTCCCGCCGCCGCCCACTCACCGGTCAGGCCCAGGGCGGCCGCGGGGCCCACGCGCCGGCCCCCCTGCAGGCCGTACAGGTGCATCTTGTACTTGCGCCCCGGCTCCAGGCCCCGCACGGTCACCGCGCTCTCCTCGCCCCCGACACGCACCACCTGGGGCCGCCCGTCCCTGTCCTTGTACTGCACGGTGAAGGCGTCGAAGTGGCCCCGGGCCACGGTCCAGGCCAGGCTCAGCGAGTCCGGGGAGGCCCCCGTCACCGTCAGCTGCCCCAGCACGGGCTCCTCCGCGCTGGGCTCCGGGGGGCCGGGGGGCTCGTCCTCTGCAGCGGGAAGGACACACAGGGAGGTGAGGCAGGCTCCGCGGGGAAGTCCCGGCGTCTCCCGAGCCCTGGTCACGCCCGGCCCGGGCCCTGCGGGCGCCCAGCGGGCACCACGGCCCAGCCCGGAGCACAGGGGCCCTGCGCCCATCGCCTCACAGTGCGAGCTGCAGGCCCCCGGGCGCCCCGCCCACTCACCCGTCACCCCGGTGGCGGAGGCGGGGCCCAGGCGCTGGCCGGCGTGGACGCCGTACAGGTGCATCTTGTACTTGTGGGCCGGCTCCAGGCCCGAGATGGTGACCCCGGCCTCGTGTCCCGGCACCCGCACCGCCTTGGGCTGCCCGTCCCCGTTCTTGTACTGGACCAGGAAGTGGTCAAACTGGCCCTCGGGGACGGTCCAGGCCAGGCTCAGCGAGTCCGGGGAGGACCCCGTCACCGTCAGCTCCCCCAGGCGAGGCTCCACGGGGGGCTGGGGGGTGGTGGTGGGCGGGACTTGGGTGGTCACAGCTTCGAAGTCGGGAGCTGGACGAGCTGGAAGGAGACGTGGGGGACAGGTGAGGTCTCCGCCCTCAGCGGAGGGCCCATTGCAAACATAAGACAGTGAGGAGCGGAGTCTGCCGTCCTCAGAGCTCTGACTCCAATTCTTTTTTTTTCTTTCACTTTTTATAGAGAAAAATATTTAATTATTATAGTAAGAAGAGAATAATGTAAGTCTATTCAGAATTGTTTAGAGGCATAACTCACAAGATTTTATGCAATAGTTTGCAATTCTGTTACTTCTCAGTCACTTGAGTTCCAAATCTCTGCTACGTGTATGAGCAAAATCTTTTGCTATTACTTAGGCTGGAAGATCCCTCCTCCAGGCTATGTGGTATATTGTTTCTCAAATTGGTAATTTTTTTTAACTAAATAAATCTTTATTGGTCAGATTACTACAATTGTTTCTCCTTTCTCCTGCCCCACAGCTCCCTTCCACCCGGTTTCCACCCCACCTTCTGCTCTTTCCTCCTTCCCCATTGTCCTCATCCCTAGGTGTACGATTTTAGTCCAGTCTCTCCCTGCATTGCCCACATCCTTTTCCCCCTGATAATTATCAATCCACTCCCTTTCTTTGCCCCTGATTCTATTATATTCACCAGTTTATTCTGTTCCTCAGACTTTTAATTCACTTGATTTTTAGATTCACTTGTTGATATATCTATGTATTTGTTGATCATAATTTTTATCTTTACTTTTTTCTTCTTTCTCTTCTTAACGAATACCTTTCAGCATTTCATATAATACTGGTTTGGTGGTGATGAACTCCTTTAGCTTCTTCTTATCTGTGAAGCTCTTTATCTGCCCTTCAATTCTGAATGATAACTTTGCTGGGTAAAGTAATCTTGGTTGTAGGTTCTTGCTATTCATCACTTTGAATATTTCTTGTCACTCCCATCTGGCCTGCGTAGTTTCTGTTGAAAAATCAGCTGATTATCATATGGGTGCTCCTTTATAGGCAACTAACTGTTTTTTTCTTGCTGCTTGTAAGGTTCTCTCTTTGTCTTTTGCCCTTGGAATTTAATTATGATGTGTCTTGGTGTGGTCCTCTTTGGATTTCTTTTGTTTGGGGTTCTGTGCGCTTCCTGGACTTGTAAGTCTATTTCTTTCACCAGATGGGAGAAGTTTTCTGATATTATTTCTTCAAATAGGTTTTTAGTATCTTGCTCTCTGTTTTTTTCTGGCACCCCCATAATTTTGATGTTGCTACACTTGAAGTTGTCCCAGAAGCTCCTTACACTATCATCAACTTTCTGGATTCTCTTCTCTTCTTGCTTCTCCAGAGGAGTATTCTTTGCTTCTTTGTATTCCAAATCTTTGACTTGATTCTTGTGTTCCTCTAGTCTACTGTTGGGTCTCTGTATAATATTCTTTATTTCAGTCAGTGTATGTTTAATTTCTAGTTGGTCCTTTTTCATATCCTCGAGAGTCTCATTAAATTTATTGGCCTTTTCTAAGAAATTCTTGAAAAACCTTATAACCATGGTTTTGAACTCTATATCCAGTCTTTTGTTTGCCTCCGTTTCTTTCGTTTAAGATCTATTTCCTTGTCTCGGCATTTTCACTGCTTCCCTGAATTGGCAGGATGGCTCTGTGTGCTCGGTGTCTTATATGGGCTGGTGGCTCAGCTTCCCCAGTTACCTGAGGTAGACGCTCTTGGTGCTCCCCTTTGGTTAAGTCTTGATTGTTGTTGGTATCACTGGGAGAATTGACTCCAGGCCAATTGGATGTATCAGCTGTGTCTGTGCCGGGATACCCTCTGTACTGGAGACAGTCTTATAGGACCAGACTTGCAAAATTGCAACAGCCTCTGTGCTCAGCTTGGATGGGGCAGAGTCTCAGGGCTGAGTTGACAGTCTTGGCTTCCCATCTGCCCTGCCCTTGTATGTGCGCCTTCGATCTCTGCCTTCCACGGATCCCCTGAGTTTCCACCCAACAGTCCATATTCCCCTTGTAAGAGTGTGGGTGCTCCAGGGGCTCGCCCAGAACTGGGTTTCAGTGCTCAGTGCAGTCGGAACTGGGATTCAGTGCAGTCAGGAGCTTAGACTCCTTCCGCTATGGAGAGGCTGCGGCAACCTCCGCAGTCAGACCTCTCTGCATGCACTCACTGGCTCATGATTCTACACCCTGCCCGCTGCGGCTCCCGGCTCCCCCTAGTTTCCCAGTCTCTGAGCTCCAGGTGCCTTTCTCTACAGTCCAGACTCCACCGGTATGAACCTAGGCCCATGGGGTTTCAGCTGGGGCTGGGCTTCAGTGCAGTTGGGGCTTCATTCCCCTCCCGCCAGCCAGGCACTCAGCAGCCCTTCCTCTCTGCCTGTGTCTCCCTACCTCAGCGCCTGTGGCTCTCCTTATCCCTGAGCCTCTCTCCTTTATAGTGTGGATTTCCCACTCAGCCACCTGTCCTGTGGCTTTGGATGATGTCCGCACTGTCTTTTAGTTGTTGATTTCAGATTGTTGTGTGAGGGAGCAGTTTAGGTGCTTACCTAGGCAACCATCTTTGTTTTCCCCTCCTAATTCCAATTCTTTCTGGTTCCTCTAATGTCTCCTTCCTCCCCCATCTCACACCCCTCACCAGCACCGCTGTGCACTGTCCTCCAGCACCCTCCCCCCCACCCAAACAGAACCCCTGTGAACCCTCCACCACACCCACCTCCCCCATCCCACCAGCACCCCTGGGCCCCTTCAGCACAGGCTCTGCTCTGTGGGCTCCCTCCACTGGGTCTGGGGGCATCTCACTCCTCTGGCTCAACTTTGCTCCCAAAGAGCTCAGACACGATCAGAAACCTGAACCCTCTTGGTGCCCCCGGGCTCTCCTTCCCTAGCCTATGCACCAGCTGTGCCACCGTGGAATGAGCCACTCTTTGTCCTATGGTGCTGTCACCGAGCCAACCTGCCTGACTGCAGCCTCACAGCCCGGGCCTGGCCTGCCTCAGGGCTTCCTGTCGTTAACGCCCCCTCTGCCTGCAATCTGCTATAACTATTCTGTGGGTTCCCAGCCTGTCTTCCCACCACCGGGAGCCCCATTAGGATAAAACCTTGTCTCTCTGCCAAGTTCAAGGTCAACACATGAACTCCTGAGGCGAGGCCCAGGGCTCCCATGTTGGCTGACCCCCCAGTCCTAAGTCTGGAGAGGTCTGACCGTGAGGTGGGGGCGCTGCGGCCAGAGGCTGCCCCTGAGCTCCTCCAACCCGTCAGGCCTCCAGGCGCCAGCGAGGCCAGCGGGCGGGAAGGAAGGGATGCGGGCGGGACTGGCTCCCACAGGCTCTCAGAAAGTGTCCGCCCCGGGCCGTGAGGTGTGGCCCGAGCGTGGAGACCAGCAGCATCACTGCCCAGGCCCCTGTGGGGGAGCCACTCTGCAGCCCAGCCCCTGCCCAGGCACGGCCTCCACCCGGACCCCAGGCCAGCGTGGAGCCGGGGGAGGGTGTCACTGGTGTTTCCACGAGGATGGCAACAGAGGGAGTCTCCCAGGCCCTCCTCCCGCTGCCGCCCACTCACCGGTCAGGCCCAGGGCGGCCGCGGGGCCCACGCGCCGGCCCCCCTGCAGGCCGTACAGGTGCATCTTGTACTTGCGCCCCGGCTCCAGGCCCCGCACGGTCACCTCGCTCTCCTCGCCCCCGACACGCACCACCTGGGGCCGCCCGTCCCTGTCCTTGTACTGCACGGTGAAGGCGTCGAAGTGGCCCCGGGCCACGGTCCAGGCCAGGCTCAGCGAGTCCGGGGAGGACCCCGTCACCGTCAGCTGCCCCAGCACGGGCTCCTCCGCGCTGGGCTCCGGGGGGCCGGGGGGCTCGTCCTCTGCAGCGAGAAGGACACACAGGGAGGTGAGGCAGGCTCCGCGGGGAAGTCCCGGCGTCTCCCGAGCCCTGGTCACGCCCGGCCCGGGCCCTGCGGGCGCCCAGCGGGCACCACGGCCCAGCCCGGAGCAGGGGGCCCTGCGCCCATCGCCGTCACAGTGCGAGCTGCAGGCCCCGGCGCCCCGCCCACTCACCCGTCACCCCGGTGGCGGAGGCGGGGCCCTGGCGCTGGCCGGCGTGGACGCCGTACAGGTGCATCTTGTACTTGTGGGCCGGCTCCAGGCCCGAGATGGTGACCCCGGCCTCGTGTCCCGGCACCCGCACCGCCTTGGGCTGCCCGTCCCCGTTCTTGTACTGGACCAGGAAGTGGTCAAACTGGCCCTCGGGGACGGTCCAGGCCAGGCTCAGCGAGTCCGGGGAGGACCCGGTCACCGTCAGCTCCCCCAGGCGAGGCTCCACGGGGGCGCCTGTAGGGGGCTCCGCTTCGGGGGCTGGAAGAGAGGCAAACAAGCTCTCAGGTTGCTGGAAGAGCTGCTGAGACCGCCCCTCCTGGTTCCTGGTGTGAATGGCCACCTCCCGCCTTGAGGCCTGCCTGCTCCCTCCTCTCAGGCCTGCTTCCCCTGTGCCTGCAGCTCCTGCCTGCTCCTCAGTCCTGCTCCAATGTCACTGTCTCTTCAGGACCTCCCTCGCGTTCCCCACATACTTAAAGTTTCAATCCTCCCAACTAGTACCTACCTTCCTTTTTTTAAAAATAATTTTTATAAATAATTATTTTTTATTGAAACATTACGTATGTCCCCTTTCCCCGTCTTTGACCCCCTCCAGCCCGCCCCCACTCCCCACCCCAGGCCCTCACCACCCTGGTAGATCACACACACACACACACACACACACACACACCCGCCTTCCCTCTGCGATTCCGCACTCTGCTCCAGGCTTCCATGTCTCTGATCCACTCCGTTCATCAGTTTATTTTTTTCATTAGATTCCAGATATGAGTGAGATCATGTGACACTTGTTTTTCTCTGACGGGCTTATTTCACTCAGCATGACACTCTCCAGGTCCCCCCATGCTGTCTTTTCCCTTTTACTGTTGCATAGCATTCCCTGGGGTGGATGTACAACTTTTTTACCCACTCATCCACTGGCACGTGGGCTGTTTCCAGATCTTAGCTGTTGTAAATTGTACTGCAATGAACATAGGGATGCATACATTCTTTCTGTTTGATGTTTCTAGTTTCTTGGTATTCCTAGAAGTGGGGTCCCTGGGTCAAATGGTAGTGCCACATTTAATTTTTTTGAGGCAACTCCACAATATTTTCCTCAGTGGCTGCAGCAGTCTGCATTCCCACCAGCAGCGCACTAGGGATCCCTTTTTCCCACATCCTCACCAGCACTCGTCATTTGTGGGTTTGTTGATGGTAGCCATTCAGACAGGTGTGAGGTGATACCTCATTGTCCTTTTAATTTGCATCTCTCTGATGATCAGTGACTTTGAGCAATTTTTCATATGTCTCTTGGCCATCTATGTGCCCACTTTGGAGAAGTGTCTATTTCGGTCCTTTGCCCATTTTTTATTTATTTATTTATTTATTTATTTATTTATTTATTTATTTATTTATTTTTTAATATTTTTTTTATTAAGTTATCATTTTTGTACATATACCAATGCCCCCCATCCCATACATACCCTCCCTCCCCAGAGTTTTGTGTCCATTGGTTGTACTTATATGCATGTATACAAGTCCTTCAATTGATCTCTTATCTCCCCCAGATCTCCCTACCTTCCCCGCTGTAATTTGACTGACTGCTTGTTGCTTTACTGTCTCTATATCTATCTTTTGGTTCTTCAGTTTATAATGTTCTTTATTATCCATAAATAAGTGAGGTCATGTGGTGTCTCTCTTTCATTGACTGGCTTGTTTCACTCAGCATGATGTTCTCCAATTCCATCCAGGTTGCTGCAAACGATGAGAATTTTTTCTTTTTTATGGCAACATAATATTCCATTGTGTAGATGTACCACAGTTTTTGGATCCAATCATCTGCTGATGCCTTTGCCCATTTTTTAATTGGCTTGTTTGTCTTTTGTTAAGTTGTGTGAGTTCCTTGTATATTTTGGACATTAACCCTTTATCAGATGTATCATTGCCAAATATGTTCCCCCATATAGTGGGCTCCCTTTTCATTTTGTTGGTTTTTTTGTTGTCGTGCAGAAGCTTTTTATTTTGATGTAGTCCCATTTGTTTATTTTCTCTTTCGTTTCCTTTGCCCTAGGAGATATATCTGTAAACATATTGCTACAGTCGATGTCTGAGATTTTGCTGCCTGTGTTTTCTTCTAGGATTTTTATGGTTTCATGTCTTGTGTTTTAAGTCTTTTATTCATTTTGAGTTTATTCTTGTGTATGCTATAAGCTGGTGATCTAGTTTCACTTTTTTTTTTTTTTTGCATGTATCTGTCCAATTTTCCCAACATCATTTATTGAAGAGACTTTTTAAAAAATATATATATTTTATTGATTTTTTACAGAGAGGAAGGGAGAGAGATAGAGAGCTAGAAACCTTGATGAGAGAGAAACATCAACCAGTTGCCTCTTGCACACCCCCTACCGTGAATGTGCCCACAACCAAGGTGCATGCCCTTGATCGGAATCGAACCCAACCTTTCAGTCTGCAGACCGACACTCTACCACTGAGCCAAACCGGTTTCGGCTGAAGAGACTGTCTTGACTCCATTGTATGCTCTTGCTTCCTTTGTCAAATATTAATTGAACATAATGGCTTGTGTCAATTTCCAGGGTCTCTGTTCTGTTCCATTGGTCTACATGCCTGTTCTTGTGCCATACCAGGCTGTCTTGATTACGGGCTTTTAATATAATTTGAAATCTGGATATTGGTTCCTCCAATTTCATTCTTCTTTCTCAAGATTGCTGCGGCACCCTTACCCAAGTCGCTCAGTGGACAGAGCGTTGGCCTGTGGACTAAAGGGTCCTAGGTTCGATTCTGGTCAAGAGCATGTACCTTGGTTGCGGGCACATCCCCAGTAGGAGTTGTGCAGGAGGCAGCTGATTGATGTTTCTCTCTCATTGATGTTTCTAGCTCTCTATCCCTCTCCCTTTCTCTCTGCAAAAAAATCAATAAAATATATACATATTTTTAAAAACATTTGCTGCGGCTATTCAGGATCTTTTCAGGTTCCATATAAATTTTTGGAGTATTTTTCTAGATCTGTATAATATGTTATTGGTATTTTAGTAGGGATTGCATTGAATCTGTAAATTGCCTTGGGTACCATGGATATTTTAATGATGTTATTTTAAAAACTATGTATTTTATTGATTTTCCACAGAGAGGAAGGGAGAAGGATAGAAAGCCAGAAACATCACTGAGAGAGAAACATCGACCAGCTGCCTCCTGCACACCCACACAGGGGATGTGCCCGTAGCCAAGGCACACGCCCCTGACCAGAATCCAACCTGGGACCCCTCAGTCCGCAGGCCGACGCTCTATCCACTGAGCCAAACTGGTTTCGGCTAATGATGTTACTTCTACCAATCCATGAACACAGTATATTCTTTCATTTGTTTATATTATCTTCTATCTCTTTTATCAAATTCCTATTGTTTTCTGAGTACAAGTCTTTTACCTCTGTGGTTCACTTTATTCCTAAGTATCTTAATTTTTGTTGTTGTTGTTGTTGTTGCAATGGCAAATGGGATAGTTTGTTTAGTTTCTTTCTGGGAATTAATTATTGGTGGATAAAAAAGCCCATTGATTTTGGGTGTTGATTTTGTATCCTGCTACATTGCCAAATTCACATATTAAATCTAGGAGTTTTTTGGTGGAGGCTTTCGAGTTTTCTATGTACAATGCCATGTCATCTGTGAATAAAGAGTTTTAGTTCCTCTTTTCCAATTGGATGCCTTTTATTTCTTCTTCTTGTCTGATCGCCGTGGCCAGAACTTCCAGTGCTATGTTGACTAAGAGCGGAGAAAACAGACATCCCTGTCTTGTCCCTGTTCTTAGGGGAAGTGGTTTTAGTTTTTGTCCATTTATTTACTATGTTATTCACTGTAGGTTGTTCTCTTTATCATTCCCACTTTGTTGAGAGTTTTTATCAAAATGGGTGTTGGATTTTGTCCAATGCTCTTTCTGCATCTATTGATATGATCATGTGATTTTTGCCTTTCAATTTTTTTTATGTGATGTATAGTGTTTATTGATTTGCAAATATTGTACCAGCCTTGCATCCCTGGAAGAATTCCCACTTTGTCATGGTGTATGATCTTTTTAATATATTGCTAATATTTTGTTGAGGATTTTAGCATCTATGTTCATCAGGGATATTGGCCTGTAATTCTCTCTCTTTGTAGTGTCTTTATCTGGTTTTGAAATTAGGATAATGCTGGTCTCATAAAAAGTTTGGAAGTGTTCCTTCCTCTTGGATTTTTGGAATAGTTTGAGGAGTATAGGTGTTAGTTGTTCTTTGAAGGTTTGGTAAAACTCTTCTGAGAAGCCGTCCAGACCTGGGCTTTTGTTTGCTGGGAGTTTTTAAATTACTGCTTCTATTTCCTTAGTTGTTATTGGCTTATTTAGGTTTTCTGATTCTTTCTGATTCAATTTTGAGAGATTGTATTTTTCTAGGAATCTGTCCATTTCATCCATATTGTCAAGCTTGTTGGCAGATATATTTGTTCATAGTATTTTCTTACAATTTTTTGTATTTATGTAGTGTCAGTTGTTAATTCACCACTTTTGTTTCTGATTTTATTTGGGTCCTCTCTCTTTGTTTCTTTTTAAAAATTTTTCTTATTGATTTCAGAGAGAAATAGAGAGGTAGAAACTCAATGATGAGAAAGAGTCATTGATCAGCTGCCTCCTGCATGCCCCCACCCCCCAGAATGGGGGATCAAGACCACAACTCAGGCATGTGCCCTTGATTGGAATCAAACCTGGGACTCTTCAGTCCACAGGCCAAAGCTCTACCCACTAAGCAAAACCACCTAGGGCTCTCTTTAGTTTCTTGATGAGGTTGCCTGTGAGTCATCAATGATGTTTATCCTTTCAAAGAACCAGCTCTTGGTGTCATTGATTTTTTTTTTCTTTTTCTTTTTTTTTTTTTTTTTTTTAGTCTCGATGTCATTTATTTCTGCTCTAATCTTTATTATTTCCTTCCTTCTATTTACTCTGGGCATTTCTTGTTCTCTTTCTAATTCTTTAAGTTGTAGGGTTAAATAGTTTATTTTTTGTTTTGTTTTGTTTTGTTTTTAGGAAATCCTGTAATGCTATGAATTTCCCTCTCAGAACTGCTTTTGCTGTGTCCCAGAGATCTCAAATTGTTGTGTGTTCATTTTCATTTATTTCCAGGAATTTTTTTATTTCTTTCATAAACTAATTGGTAGCCCATTCATTGCTTAATAACATCCTATTTAGCTTCCATGTGTTTGGTTTTTTTTACTGTAGTTGATGTCTAATTTCATTCCACTGTGATCTGAGAAGATGCTTGATATGATTTCAGTTGTCTTGAGCTTGTAGAGACTTGTTTTATATCATAACATGTGATCTATCTTTATGAATGACCCATGTGCACTTGAGAAGAATGTATATTCTGCAGCTTTGGGGTGAATCCTATATAATAAAGAGGTAATATGCAAATTGACCCTCACACACTCACAAGATAGCTGTCTAAAACCAGGCTGACAGCAGGATTAGTGAGGGAAGACCAAATGACTTAACAGCAGGCTGCATGGGGCGACTAGGCCAGCAGGGGGCTGTGAGGAGTGACAAGGCTGGCAGGGGGGCAGTTGGGGCAACCAGCAGGCAAGCAGGCATGTGAGTTATTAGGAGTCAGTGGTCCAGGATTGTGAGAAGGATGTCTGACTGCCAGTTTAGGCCCAATCCTGATCAGGCCTAAACTGGCAGTCAGACATCTCCCAAGGAGTCCCAGATTAAAGAGGGTGCAGGCTGGGCTGAGGGCTTCCCCCTCCCCGTGCATGAATTTTGTGCACCAGGCCTCTGGTTGTTCTATAAATGTCTATTAATTCCATCAGATCCATGTGTCCTTTAGAGCCGCTGCTGATTTTCTGTCTGGAAGATCTGTCCAGTGAAGTCAGTGGGGTGTTAAAGTTCCCCTATTATTTTTATATTGTTATCAATCTCTCCCTTAAAGTGCTCTAGAAGTTCTTTTTTGTATAATTCAGTGCTCCTATATTTGGTGCATATATGTTTACCAGGATTATATTCTTTTGTTGTATCAATCCCTTTAGTATTATGTAGTGACTTTTGTTGTATTTTGTGATGGTCTTCATTTTTAAAAAATATATATATTTTATTGATTTTACACAGAGAGGAATTGAGAAGTACAGAGAGTTAGAAACGACGATGAGAGAGAAACATCGACCAGCTGCCTCTTGCACACCCCCACTGGGGATGTGCCCGCAACCAAGGTACATGCCCTTGACCGGAATCGAACCCGGGACCTTTCAGTCCACAGGCCGACGCTCTATCTACTGAGCCAAACTGGTCCCAGCTGGTCTTCATTTTGAAGTCTATTTTGTCAGATATGAGTATTGCTACCCCAAACTTCTTTTCATTTCCATTTGCATGGAAAAAAATTTCCATCCCTTTACTCTCATCCTGTGTGTGTCTTTTGTTCTGAGGTGGGTCCCTTGTAGATAGCATATAGTTGGGTCATGTTTTGATGGGTACATTTATTCCATTTACATTTAAGATTATTATTGATAGGTGCTTATTTATGCCATTCTACTTCTGTATGCCGAGCGTTCTATATTTCTTCTCATTACAGTAGTCCTTTTAGCATTTCTTTTAATCCGGGCTTGGTAGGGATGAACTCCTTTAGCCATTTTTTTTTTTCTTTTTGTCTGAGAAGCTCTGTATTTGACTGTCCAATAGCCTTGCTGGATATAGTAATTTTGGTTGCAGATCCTTGCTTTCCATTACCTTGAGTACTACATGAGATTCCCTTCTGGCCTGTAGGGTTTCTGATGAGAAATCAGGTGTCAGCTTTATGGGAACTTCTTTGTAGGTAACAGTTTGCTTTTCTCTTGCTGCCTTTAAGATTCTCTCTTTGTCTTTAATTTTTGGCATTTTAATTATGATGTGTCTGGGTGTGGACCTTTTTGAGTTCTTGTTTGGGGCTCTCTGTGCCTCCTGAACTTGTATGACTTTTTCCTTTACCAGGTTAGGGAAATTTTCTGCCATTATTTCTTCAGACATGTTCTCCCTTTCTGCCTCTTCTGGCACACCTATTCTTCAAAATATTGTTGTGTTTCATGTTGTCTCACAGTTCCCTTAAGCTGTGCTCCTGTTTTTTTTTTGTTTGTTTGTTTGTTTGATTGTTTTTATTGTTTATTCTTTTTGGTTCTCTGATTTAGTGATTTTTTTTTAAACCTTATCTTCTAATTCTCTGATTTGATTCTCAGCTTTCCCTAATCTGCTGTTATTCCAATGTGTTCTATATCATTCTTTGTGTTTTCATAGTTACTATGTTTTTTTTTCTCATGCTTTTGAGCATCTTTACCATCATCATTCTGAACTTTATATCAGATAAATTTCTTATCTCCATTTCTTTTATCTTTTCTCTGGAGACTTCTCTTGTTCTTTCATTTGGGGGTTGTTTCTTTCTCTCTTCATTTTGGCTACCTGTTTGGGTTTGTGACTATGTATTAGATCTGTACATCTCTCAATTTCTAGTGTAGGATGGTGTCAAGCTGTTTCTGACTAATTATCTTAGGCAAAGACTCAAAGCCTCCAGAGACTGCCACTGTCTACAGACTTATGATAGGATTTGGTCTTGAATTGCCCTCAGGCAATTGTCCACAGGTATGGTAAGAGTTTTTTCCCCCACAGGATGGTGCAATTACTTCTGCCTGGAGGCTAATTGTTATTCTCAGTCTCTTAATGGGTTTTTCAATAGGGTGGGTCAACTATCTGCCTCCAACTATCTGTACAGCAAATGTCTGCATGAGAAAGATCACCTCTGCATAGAGAGAGAAAATGACTCAGCACAGGGAACTTGGGGTGTCTGCCTCCTGAGATCTAACCCCAGAGCCCCAAGCCTGGCTTCTGCTCACAGCTCCAGGCCACTCTGCCCTCCCTCTGCCCGAGCACAAGGTGAGTGGCTCTACATGCAATTCTGTGCATTGACTTTTTAAGAGGGTGCCTGAATTTTCAGCTCTCTCTCCCTGGCAGATAGAAGCCCTGATGTTTTTCCCAGCCAAATGTTATGTGGGTACTCTTCTCAGTTCTGGTGATTTCTGCTGGGCGGTGGGGGGGGGGGGGGCAGCTTGGGGATTTGACCCCCGAGTTCTCAGTGGCACCACCAGAGCTGGGATATCTCTCCAGGACTTCAGTTTCTGTCTGTGGGAGCCCAGCCAGCTCTTTTGTGCCTTGGCCCTTCCAACCAGTCTCTATGCAATCTCCACTTTCCATCCTCTATTATCAGGGTTTTCTCCCGTGAGTCTTCCATTAATTATTCTAGAGGTTTTTCCGTATTTCAGTTGTAATTCCAGTTTGGTCCTGGGAGCGTGTCTATGCAACATCCACTTACTCCACCGCCACTTAAAATCTGCCTGCCTACCTTCTTTATGTAGACCAAATTTCAGCAACAAATTTGGAAAACAAGAAATATGATAAAACCAGGAGACTGTAGCAGTGACTGATACTTGAGGACACAAAGAAATGACTGTTCATTTTTAAGGTACAATCCTTATCATATGGTCATTTTTAAACAGCCTTTTTAAAGAGAGGACTGTAAATATGGTGAGGAAGTGCAGCTGAATGTAAAAACACAGCAGTGGTCTACCCTATAAGGAATACCACTTGGCTCTACAGAGGAATAAAGTACTGCTTGAGGCTACAACATGGGTGGACCTCAAACATGTGCTCAGGGAAGAAGCCAGACAATGCACACGGGAAACGCACTACAGATCCACAAGATGCATACTGAAAGAGATGACTTTTCTGGGATGTGAATTATGTCAATCAAGTGGTTAATAAAGAGGCATTCTGTGACGAGCCTTCTGGAAGAGCTGATATATGGTGGAAGCAGTGATGACCCTGCGCCTTCATTATTCCACTCTTCCTGCTTGTTTGAAATTGTATATATAAATGCTGGTTGATTGCATTCATATTCCAAGACCTATATCCCAGACTCCCCCAAGAGCTCTTTCCAGAGCCGCAGCCCAGCGGAGAGCCACACCGCATGGCGGGGGTCGCTTGACACTTCAGTACCCAGGACCTCCCGGACGGCTGGGCCCTGCCCTGAAACCTGCTTCCTGGCCGTGGACCACCCCTGTTCTGAGCTACCTAGTGCACGGGGTGTGGGTCAGAGGTCGAGAGGTTATGGACTGAACTGGAAGAGACTCTGATGCCACTACAGAGACCTTTCCTAAGCCCAACCCTGGGGCCCCTCAGTAGCCACTCACCGGTCAGGCCCAGGGCGGCCGCGGGGCCCACGCGCCGGCCCCCCTGCAGGCCGTACAGGTGCATCTTGTACTTGCGCCCCGGCTCCAGGCCCCGCACGGTCACCTCGCTCTCCTCGCCCCCGACACGCACCACCTGGGGCCGCCCGTCCCTGTCCTTGTACTGCACGGTGAAGGCGTCGAAGTGGCCCCGGGCCACGGTCCAGGCCAGGCTCAGCGAGTCCGGGGAGGCCCCCGTCACCGTCAGCTGCCCCAGCACGGGCTCCTCCGCGCTGGGCTCCGGGGGGCCGGGGGGCTCGTCCTCTGCAGCGAGAAGGACACACAGGGAGGTGAGGCAGGCTCCGCGGGGAAGTCCCGTCGTCTCCCGAGCCCTGGTCACGCCCGGCCCGGGCCCTGCGGGCGCCCAGCGGGCACCACGGCCCAGCCCGGAGCAGAGGGGCCCTGCGCCCAGCGCCGTCACAGGGCGAGCTGCAGGCCCCGGCGCCCCGCCCACTCACCCGTCACCCCGGTGGCGGAGGCGGGGCCCTGGCGCTGGCCGGCGTGGACGCCGTACAGGTGCATCTTGTACTTGTGGGCCGGCTCCAGGCCCGAGATGGTGACCCCGGCCTCGTGTCCCGGCACCCGCACCGCCTTGGGCTGCCCGTCCCCGTTCTTGTACTGGACCAGGAAGTGGTCAAACTGGCCCTCGGGGACGGTCCAGGCCAGGCTCAGCGAGTCCGGGGAGGACCCCGTCACCGTCAGCTCCCCCAGGCGAGGCTCCACGGGGGGCTGGGGGGTGGTGGTGGGCGGGACTTGGGTGGTCACAGCTTCGAAGTCGGGAGCTGGACGAGCTGGAAGGAGACGTGGGGGACAGGTGAGGTCCTCCTCCGCCCTCAGCGGAGGGCCCATTGCAAACATAAGACAGTGAGGAGCCGAGTCTGCCGTCCTCAGAGCTCTGACTCCAATTCTTTTTTTCTTCTTCACTTTTTATAGAGAAAAGTATTTAATTATTATAGTAAGAAGAGAATAATGTAAGTCTATTCAGAATTGTTTAGAGGCATAACTCACAAGATTTTATGCAATAGTTTGCAATTCTGTTACTTCTCAGTCACTTGAGTTCCAAATCTCTGCTACGTGTATGAGCAAAATCTTTTGCTATTACTTAGGCTGGAAGATTCCCTCCTCCAGGCTATGTGGTATATTGTATCTCAAATTGGCATTTTTTTTAACTAAATAAATCTTTATTGCTCAGATTACTACAATTGTTTCTCCTTTCTCCTGCCCCACAGCTCCCTTCCACCCAGTTTCCACCCCACCTTCTGCCCTTTCCTCCCCCCCCCCATTGTCCTCATCCGTAGGTGTACGATTTTAGTCCAGTCTCTCCCTGCATTGCCCACATCCTTTCCCCCCTGATAATTATCAATCCACTCCCTTTCTTTGCCCCTGATTCTATTATATTCACTAGTTTATTCTGTTCCTCAGACTTTTAATTCACTTGATTTTTAGATTCACTTGTTGATATATATATTTGTTAATCATAATTTTTATCTTTACTTTTTTCTTCTTTCTCTTCTTAAAGAATACCTTTCAGCATTTCATATAATTCTGGTTTAGTGGTGATGGATTCCTTTAGCTTCTTCTTATCTGTGAAGCTCTTTATCTGCCCTTCAATTCTGAATGATAACTTTGCTGGGTAGAGTAATCTTGGTTGTAGGTTCTTGCTATTCATCACTTTGAATATTTCTTGTCACTCCCATCTGGCCTACATAGTTTCTGTTGAAAAATCAGCTGATAATCATATGGGTGCTCCTTTATAGGCAACTAACTGTTTTTTTTCTTGCTGCTTGTAAGGTTCTCTCTTTGTCTTTTGCCCTTGGCATTTTAATTATGATGCGTCTTGGTGTGGTCCTCTTTGGATTTCTTTTGTTTGGGGTTCTGTGCGCTTCCTGGACTTGTAAGTCTATTTCTTTCACCAGATGGGAGAATTTTTCTGATTATTATTTCTTCAAATATGTTTTTAGTATCTTGCTCTCTGTTTTTTTTTCTGGCACCCCCATAATTTTGATGTTGCTACACTTGAAGTTGTCCCAGAGGCTCCTTACACTATCATCAACTTTCTGGATTCTCTTCTCTTCTTGCTTCTCTGGAGGAGTGTTCTTTGCCTCTTTGTATTCCAAATCTTTGGCTTGATTCTTGTGTTCCTCTAGTCTGCTGTTGTGTCTCTGTATAATATTTTTTATTTCAGACAGTTTATGTTTACTTTCTAGTTGGCCCTTTTTCATATCCTCGAGGGTCTCATTAAATTTATTGGCCTTTTCTAAGAAATTCAAGAAAAACCTTATAACCATGGTTTTGAACTCTATATCCAGTCTTTTGTTTGCCTCCATTTCTTTCGTTTAAGATCTATTTCCTTGTCTCGGCATTTTCATTGCTTCCCTGAATTGGCAGGATGGCTCTGTGTGCTCGGTGTCTTATATGGGCTGGTGGCTCAGCTTCTCCAGTTACCTGAGGTAGACGCTCTTGGTGCTCCCCTTTGGTTACGTCTTGATTGTTGTTGGTATCACTGGGAGAATTGACTCCAGGCCAATTGGATGTATCAGCTGTGTCTGTGCCGGGATACCCTCTGTATTGGAGATAGTCTTATAGGACCAGACTTGCAAAATTGCAACAGCCTCTGTGCTCAGCTTGGATGGGGCAGAGTCTCAGGGCTGAGCCGACAGTCTTGGCTTCCCATCTGCCCTGCCCTTGTACGTGCGCCTTCGATCTCTGCCTTCCACGGATCCCCTGAGTTTCCGCCTGACAGTCCATATTCCCCTTGTAAGAGTGTGGGTGCTCCAGGGGCTCGCCCAGAACTGGGTTTCAGTGCTCAGTGCAGTCGGAACTGGGATTCAGTGCAGTCAGGAGCTTAGACTCCTTCCGCTATGGAGAGGCTGCGGCAACCTCCACAGTCAGACCTCTCTGCATGCACTCACTGGCTCATGATTCTACACCCTGCCCGCTGCAGCTCCCGGCTCCCCCTAGTTTCCCAGTCTCTGAGCTCCAGGTGCCTTTCTCTACAGTCCAGACTCCACCGGTATGAACCTGGGCCCACGGGGTTTCAGCTGGGGCTGGGCTTCAGTGCAGTTGGGGCTTCCATTCCCCTTCCGCCAGCCAGGCACTCAGCAGCCCTTCCTCTCTGCCCGTGTCTCCCTACCTCAGCGCCTGTGGCTCCCCTGATCTGAGCCTCTCTCCTTTCTAGTGTGGATTTCCCACTCAGCCACCTGTCCTGTGGCTTTGGATGATGTCCGCACTGTCTTTTAGTTGTTGTTTTCAGATTGTTGTGTGAGGGAGCAGTTTAGGTGCTTACCTAGGCCACCATCTTTGTTTTCCCCTCCTAATTCCAATTCTTTCTGGTTCCTCTAATGTCTCCTTCCTCCCCCATCTCACACCCCTCACCAGCACCGCTGTGCTCCATCCTCCAGCACCCTCTCCCCCACCCAAACAGAACCCCTGTGAACCCTCCACCACACCCACCTTCCCCATCCCACCAGCACCCCTGGGCCCCTTCAGCACAGGCTCTGCTCTGTGGGCTCCCTCCACTGGGTCTGGGGGCATCTCACTCCTCTGGCTCAACTTTGTTCCCAAAGAGCTCAGACCCGATCAGAAACCTGAACCCTCTTGGTGCCCCCGGGCTCTCCTTCCCCAGCCTATGCACCAGCTGTGCCACCGAGGAATGAGCCACTCTTTGTCCTATGGTGCTGTCACCGAGCCAACCTGCCTGACTGCAGCCTCACAGCCCGGGCCTGGCCTGCCTCAGGGCTTCCTGTCGTTAACGCCCCCTCTGCCTGCAATCTGCTATAACTGTTCTGTGGGTTCCCAGCCTGTATTCCCACCACCTGGAGCCCCATTAGGATAAGACCTTGTCTCTCTGCCAAGTTCAAGGTCAACACATGAACTCCTGAGGCGAGGCCCAGGGCTCCCATGTTGGCTGACCCCCCCGTCCTAAGTCTGGAGAGGTCTGACCCTGAGGTGGGGACGCTGTGGCCAGAGGCTGCCCCTGAGCTCCTCCAACCCGTCAGGCCTCCAGGCGCCAGCGAGGCCAGCGGGCGGGAAGGAAGGGATGCGGGCGGGACTCGCTCCCACAGGCTCTCAGAGTGTCCGCCCCCGGGCCGTGAGGTGTGGCCTGAGCGTGGAGACCAGCAGCATCACTGCCCAGGCCCCTGTGGGGGAGCCACTCTGCAGCCCAGCCCCTGCCCAGGCACGGCTTCCACCCGGACCCCAGGCCAGCGTGGAGCCGGGGGAGGGTGTCACTGGTGTTTCCACGAGGATGGCGACAGAGGGAGTCTCCCAGGCCCTCCTCCCGCCGCCGCCCACTCACCGGTCAGGCCCAGGGCGGCCGCGGGGCCCACGCGCCGGCCCCCCTGCAGGCCGTACAGGTGCATCTTGTACTTGCGCCCCGGCTCCAGGCCCCGCACGGTCACCGCGCTCTCCTCGCCCCCGACACGCACCACCTGGGGCCGCCCGTCCCTGTCCTTGTACTGCACGGTGAAGGCGTCGAAGTGGCCCCGGGCCACGGTCCAGGCCAGGCTCAGCGAGTCCGGGGAGGCCCCCGTCACCGTCAGCTGCCCCAGCTCGGGCTCCTCTGCGCTGGGCTCCGGGGGGCCGGGGGGCTCGTCCTCTGCAGCGGGAAGGACACACAGGGAGGTGAGGCAGGCTCCGCCGGGAAGTCCCTTCGTCTCCCGGGCCCTGCGGGCGCCCAGCGGGCACCACGGCCCAGCCCGGAGCAGGGGGCCCTGCGCCCATCGCCGTCACAGTGCGAGCTGCAGGCCCCGGCGCCCCGCCCACTCACCCGTCACCCCGGTGGCGGAGGCGGGGCCCTGGCGCTGGCCGGCGTGGACGCCGTACAGGTGCATCTTGTACTTGTGGGCCGGCTCCAGGCCCGAGATGGTGACCCCGGCCTCGTGTCCCGGCACCCGCACCGCCTTGGGCTGCCCGTCCCCGTTCTTGTACTGGACCAGGAAGTGGTCAAACTGGCCCTCGGGGACGGTCCAGGCCAGGCTCAGCGAGTCCGGGGAAGATCCGGTCACCGTCAGCTCCCCCAGGCGAGGCTCCACGGGGGGCTGAGGGGTGGTGGTGGGCGGTTCAGTAGGTTCCTCCTCGTTGTCCCTGGGGACTGAGCAGAGAGGGGAGGGAGAAGTGCCTGAGAGAGGCGTCGGGCTCGCTGGTGCAGGGCGCGTGGTGGCAGCTCCTCCCGCTCACCTGTCAGGGCCTCCACGCGGACGGGGCCCAGGCGCTGGGGGCCCCGGATCCCGTACAGCTCCACGCGGTACCTGTGGTCGGCCTGCAGGCCGGAGAGGGTGACGTCCCTCCGGCCGCCCCCTGCACTGACCGCGCGGCGCTGCCCTTCCTGGTCTGTGTACTGGACCTCGAAGGAGTCCAGCTGCCCCTCCGTGACCGTCCAGGACAGGCGCAGGGAGTGCGGGGTGGCCTGGACCACCGTCAGCCCCCCGAGCTGTGGCTCCGCCTCTGCAGGGCTTGGGGCTGTGGCCCCCGCTCCGTCGTCCTCCCTGGGGGCTGTGCAGAGACAGGCAGAGGCCGTGAGGGGTCTGTGGCCGCCCCAGGTCTCCAGGGGGAGGAAGGGGGCGGTAGGCGGTGGCCAGGGCGCCACCCATTGCTACACAGCGAGCCACTTCCTCGCGTGATGCTAAACGCAAGACACGACAGGAGAGCCCGTGTCCGGTTCTGCAGGGGATCTCCCCAAAGGGCATCTGCTGCCGCTGCGGTGGCCGCGCTGCCCGCCAGGCGCAGCAGATTGGGGTTCAGAGACACAGCACAGCTCAGTGTGGAAGTGCTCTCATGCCTCACACGTGTGCCCAAACGTATCGACTTAGTCCCTTCAAGTGGGAGAACTCTACTGAATGTAAATTATCTCCATATCGCAGATCCTTTTCCCCAAAAAGGGTCCTAGAAAGTTCAGAAATGGCGAGAGGGAGAGAGGGGAGAGGGAGAGGGGGCAGAGCCGGAGGCAGGCGGACGGGCGGCCCAGCGGGCACTCACCTGTCACGGCGAGGGCCGAGAGGGGCCCCAGGCGCCGGCCCCGGTGCAGCCCGTAGAGCAGCAGCTCGTACGTGCGGGCGGCGTCCAGGCCCCGGACGCTGGCCTCCCTGAGGCCGCCCGCCACAGGCAGCACCTGGGGCCGCCCGGCCCCGTCCTCGTACTGGACCGCGAAGGAGTCGAACTCGCCCTCGGGAACCGTCCACGCGAGGCCCACGGAGCTCGGGGTCACGCCGGTCACGGTCAGCTCCCCCAGGCGCGGCTCGGGGCGCTCTGCGGCCGGAGCTGGCGGAGGACAGAGGGCCGGTGAGCGCTCCAGGGACAGCTGCCCCAGCTCCGGGCTCTGCGGCAGCCACGTGGACAAACGGGGCCGCGTGCTGGCCGCAGTGGGAGGGCCCGTCCTGGGGCAGCGTCTCCCGACGTAAGTCCATCTGCCCCTGACTGCGCCGCTGCTGCCCGTCTGCCTGGGCTGGCACGGCTGGCCAGCCGCCACGCAGTCACAGGCAGCTTCCCCGCCCCAGCCCCTCCGAGGCAGCCCGCGCTGGCGGGCACGTGGTCCGTGCTGGCAGCTGCCTGCCCTGCCCTGCAGCTAAGCCGTGCCCGCCCCTCCCCGCCTGCCTCCTGCCCAGCACCCGGGGTGCGTGTGGCCCGCTCGCTTCTCCTCTGACCCCAGTGTGGAAAGCAGGGTGCAGAGGTGCCTTTCCCAGGGCATTTCCCCCTCTGCTGAGACCCTGCTTCCCAGCAATTGTCCTCTGTTTGGTTCAAATAAACTCACAAAAGCTCTCACCAGCTGTGGACAGCGGAGTTCTAGCTCAGTGGTCGGCAAACTCACTCGTCAACAGAGCCAAATACCAACAGTACAACTAAAGTTTCTTTTGAAGCTGAAACCGACTTCTGCGCGTGGGCCACGGAGTTTCAGTGGCGCTGTCCGTGCGCCCCCGCACGTGGTATTTTGTGGAAGAGCCACACTCAAGGGGCCAAAGAGCCGCACGTGGCCCTTGAGCCGCAGGTTGCCGACCACGGCTCTAGCAGCGCCCGTGGCTGCAGCTGTCTTCCCATCGCCCTAGAATTGCGCGGACTCCGCCGGTGCCTGAGCCCCCCTTTACCGGCGGCACGGGGGTCCCCGCCGAAGCCTCACACTCGCAATTGGTAACTGTACATTGACGCCTTTGACTTCCTTTGTAACCCCGTGCACTTTATGCTACAGCTTTTACTTTTACTTCTTTCTTTTTTTTTTTTTTAAATATATTTTATTGATTTTTATACAGAGAGGAAGGGAGAGAGATAGAGAGATAGAAACATCGATGAGAGAGAGTCATTGGTCAGCTGCCTCCTGCACACCCCCTATTGGGGATATGCCCGCAACCAAGGTACATGCCCTTGACTGGAATCGAACCCGGGACCTTTCAGTCCCCAAGCCGACGCTCTATCCATTGAGCCAAACCGGTCCCGGCTACTTTTACTTATTTCTTAATCCTCACCCAAGGATATGTTTTCCATTTATTCAAGAGAGAGGAAGGGAGAGGGAGAAACTGCTGTGAGTGAGAAACATCGGTGGGCTGCCTCTTGCTGGCACCCGACGAGGGATCGAACCCACAGCCTGGGCATGTGCCCACTAGGAATCGAACCCACGACCCTGCAGTGCACAGGACGCTGCCAACCAGCGGAGCCACACCGGCCAGGGCTTATTTTACCGTGTTTTAGAAATACATTCTTATTGCTTTCAGAGAGGAAGGGAGAGGAAGAGAGTTGGGAACATCAATGATGAGAGAGAATCATTGCTCGGCTGCCTCCTGCACACTTCCCGCCCCATTGGATTGTGCCCTGACCAGAATCGAACCTAGAATCCTTCGGTCCACAGGCCGACGCTCTGGGCACTGAGCCAAACCAGCCAGGCTAACACTGCACACACCGTGGAAACCAGACCAGGAAACCACGAGGGCAGGAGGGCCCCGGAGCTGAGCGCCTGCGACTGGATTCCCGGGGTGACTGGCACCTGACGCCACCAAGTGGGCGGCAGGGGCAGTGGCAGCCATGTCCGACCATGGCGGGCATGTGAAGAGAGTGGAGGAGCCGGCTAGACAGTGAGAGGGAGCGGGAGAGGCATCGGAAGTGGGGTGGGTGAGAGGGAGACAGAGGGGTGGGAGGGAGGGTGAGGCGGGGACTGGTCCAGCCTGTGCAGGGAGGCGGGCAGGACCTGAGAGAGATGGTGTGGGCTCTGGAAAGCCATGGCTGGGCCTGCCTGGGCCTCACTCACCTGTCAGAGCGTCCACGGAGAGCGGGCCCCGGCGCTGCCCGCCGTGGAGCCCGTACAGGAGCATCCTGTACCCGTGGGCGGGCTCCAGGCCGGGCACCGTGGCCTCCCGCTGGTCTGCGGCCACCGGCACCGTCCGCAGCTGCCCGTCCCTGTCCTCGAACTGGACCTCGAAGGAGTCGAACTGGCCCTCGGGGACGGTCCACGCGAGGCCCACAGAGCGGGGCGTCACGCCGGTCACAGTCAGCGCCCCCAGGCGCGGCCCCGGGGACGGCTCCGTGGCTGCAGGAGCGGCTCCCGGCGGAGCTGAGGGAGGGGAGGCGGCCGTTAGGAAAGCCTCCTCCCCGGGTGGGAGGTGAGCACGTCATTGTCCTCCTGGAGCCGCGAGGGGGTCGGGCATCAAACCCCGCTGGGCGCAGCCCCGCCCTCATCCTCCCAGGCCCTGGGGCCCTGTGGGCTGCCGGCCACCACTGAGGCTGGGGGAGCGGCCCCGGACTGTTTGCTCAGCACTCGGCCGTCCGCCCCGCGCCCCGCCCCCATATGCTGCCCCTCGGCTGCCCACTCCGCACCCCAAGCCGCCAGGCCCCGGGGAAGTCCTGCGGGCACCACCCGGGGAGGCTGAGGGCTCACCCTCTGCCGCCTCCGCCAGGCAGCGCCAGCCCTCCGGACGCCGGACCGTCCCATCGCCTGCCTCGCCCTCACCTTGTCCCCCAAACCACCTGCCTCGCCCCCACCTCCTCTGCTCCCCACAGTCAGCAGGTGGTCAGGGGCATCCATCTCATCCAGGGCAAAGCCACGCCCTGACAGCGGGCGCCCCGAGGCCTGCACGTCCACCTCACAGCCCCCAATTCCAGAACATTCCTCGCCAGCCCACCGGTGTTGGGGCACCTTCCCTCTGCCCCAAGGGCCGTCTCCAAGGCCTGGGCGGCCTGTGCTCGTCCTTCCTCAGCGGGCCCTCCCCACCACCTTCCATCACTGGCCTCCGGGCTCCCTGCCTCCGTGGGGCCAGGTTGCACGGCACCGCTGACGGGCCTGTGCCCGGGCCCCCCGCTTAGCATGGGGGCTCGGCACAGGAGCCCTGGCGGTGCCCCTCACCAGTGGTCACCACGCGTTGGCTAAGGTAATGTGTGGTTGAGCGTCAACCAAGGAACCAGGAGGTCAGGGTCAGTCCCCAGTAGAGACGCGTACGGGACAGCCAATCAGTGATTCTCTCTCATCACTGATGTTCTCTCTCTCCTTCTCTCCCCCTGCCCCTGAAACCAGTAGAAATAGATTAAAAGTAAAATGAAAACAGGCTGCTGCCGAGGCCTCAGGAAGAGATGGGTAACTCGCCGCACGCCTTGCTCCTGCTGGCCCGGCCCGCACCCTGCCCTGTGCGGGACCGGCCGCTTTGCCCTCCTCTCATGCCGGCTACAGAAAAGAAACCCGGTGGAAGGTTCTGGAAACTAAGCCAACCAGGTCATGGGAGGGCGGGCTCTGTGGACGTCAGCCTCGCTCAAACCTCTCAGTTCCTCTGCTGGCAACTGTGCTCATCCCCGACAGTAAACGTGGTTTTTCCAACGTGGTCCTTCCTTCAGCGAACCAGAGGCGGGGCGCTCCGCGCTGGGCCCGGGGGGCAGGGCAGCGGGAGGGCCCCGGGCCCCGCCTCCGTGCTGCGGCTCGGAGGTGCCCAGGCCCGGCCTGCGCGGTGGCGGGGCAGCCAGCGGGAGGCTTCTCCTGGCTGCAAGGCGCTCACGAGGGGGTGAGGGGGAGAGCCCTGCCCCCCGCGGGCCGGGCCTCAGGCACACTGACCAGCGAGGCAGCCAGGGGAGAGGGGTCGCAGCAGCCCGGAGGCAGCGCGGACAGATGCCCTCCACAGATGCCCTGTGCGGCAGGCACGCCCGTTTTACAGGCGAGGACACAGGCACGATGCTTAAAAGTGGCCCGAGGCCCTGCAGGCAGTCAGTCCCTGTGGACGCTCCTCCTCGTCTACCCCAAGATGGTGGGGCACGGGCCCACGGCAAGGACCGCACCACAGAGAGGCTGGGCACCAGGGGAGGAAATCGAACCCGCCCACTCACCGGTCAGGCCCAGGGCGGCCGCGGGGCCCACGCGCCGGCCCCCCTGCAGGCCGTACAGGTGCATCTTGTACTTGCGCCCCGGCTCCAGGCCCCGCACGGTCACCGCACTCTCCTCGCCCCCGACACGCACCACCTGGGGCCGCCCGTCCCTGTCCTTGTACTGCACGGTGAAGGCGTCGAAGTGGCCCCGGGCCACGGTCCAGGCCAGGCTCAGCGAGTCCGGGGAGGCCCCCGTCACCGTCAGCTGCCCCAGCACGGGCTCCTCCGCGCTGGGCTCCGGGGGGCCGGGGGGCTCGTCCTCTGCAGCCAGAAGGACACACAGGGAGGTGAGGCAGGCTCCGCGGGGAAGTCCCGTCGTCTCCCGGGCCCTGCGGGCGCCCAGCGGGCACCACGGCCCAGCCCGGAGCAGAGGGCCCTGCGCCCATCGCCTCGCAGTGCGAGCTGCAGGCCCCGGCGCCCCGCCCACTCACCCGTCACCCCGGTGGCGGAGGCGGGGCCCAGGCGCTGGCCGGCGTGGACGCCGTACAGGTGCATCTTGTACTTGTGGGCCGGCTCCAGGCCCGAGATGGTGACCCCGGCCTCGTGTCCCGGCACCCGCACCGCCTTGGGCTGCCCGTCCCCGTTCTTGTACTGGACCAGGAAGTGGTCAAACTGGCCCTCGGGGACGGTCCAGGCCAGGCTCAGCGAGTCCGGGGAGGACCCGGTCACCGTCAGCTCCCCCAGGCGAGGCTCCACGGGGGGCTGGGGGGCCTCCGTGCTGGGCTCTGTGGGTCTCGGGGTCTCCTCCACGGCCTCCTGGGCGGCTGTGGAAACAGGGGGTGCAGCTTTCAGGGCGACTTGCTCTGCTGGTCACGGTAAGCGTGGTGCTCGGCACGGCCGGCAAATACGCTCCGGAGCCGCAGGCTAGTGGTTTGTGTGGCTTGTGTGCGCCACCCAATGGCTCAGGCCCCCAGGTCCCCCTGCCGTGCGGACCCCGGGCTGGGGGGCAGGGGGCCGGGTCCCTGGAGTCTGAGAGGAGAGCTGGTGCTGGTCGGAAGACGCCTCGGAGGCCTGTCCCCGAGGCCACCGTCAGTGCTGCCCTCAGGCACTAAGGGCGAGAGCCCCGCCCACCTGCCATCCCCTCCCGCTCCTCGGCCCCAGCGCTGCCCTCCCTCCCCTCTGACCCTCAGGAATGAGCTGCTAGGCAGGACTTGAGGGAAAAGTGGGGCTGGGGGTGGGGGTAGGGGACCCCTGCTCTTCCCTGGCTGTCTAGAATCTTCCCTGGCTGTCTAGAATCTTCCCTGGCTGTCTAGAATCTTCCCAGATTGTCTAGAATCTTCCCTGGTTGTCTAGAATCTTCCCTGGCTGTCTAGAATCTTCCCTGGCTGTCTAGAATCTTCCCTGGTTGTCTAGAATCTTCCCAGATTGTCTAGAATCTTCCCTGGCTGTCTAGAATCTTCCCTGGCTGTCTAGAATCTTCCCAGATTGTCTAGAATCTTCCCTGGCTGTCTAGAATCTTCCCTGGCTGTCTAGAATCTTCCTTGGTTGTCTAGAATCTTCCCTGGCTGTCTAGAATCTTCCCTGGCTGTCTAGAATCTTCCCTGGCTGTCTAGAATCTTCCCAGATTGTCTAGAATCTTCCCTGGCTGTCTAGAATCTTCCCTGGCTGTCTAGAATCTTCCCAGATTGTCTAGAATCTTCCCTGGCTGTCTAGAATCTTCCCTGGCTGTCTAGAATCTTCCTTGGTTGTCTAGAATCTTCCCTGGCTGTCTAGAATCTTCCCTGGCTGTCTAGAATCTTCCCTGGCTGTCTAGAATCTTCCTTGGTTGTCTAGAATCTTCCCTGGCTGTCTAGAATCTTCCCTGGCTGTCTAGAATCTTCCCTGGCTGTCTAGAATCTTCCCTGGCTGTCTAGAATCTTCCCTGGCTGTCTAGAGTGTTCCCTGGCTGTCTAGAGTGTTCCCTGGCTGTCTAGAATCTTCCCTGGCTGTCTAGAATCTTCCCAGATTGTCTAGAATCTTCCCTGGCTGTCTAGAATCTTCCCTGGCTGTCTAGAATCTTCCCAGATTGTCTAGAATCTTCCCTGGCTGTCTAGAATCTTCCCTGGCTGTCTAGAATCTTCCCTGGCTGTCTAGAATCTTCCCTGGCTGTCTAGAATCTTCCCTGGCTGTCTAGAATCTTCCCAGATTGTCTAGAATCTTCCCTGGCTGTCTAGAATCTTCCCTGGCTGTCTAGAATCTTCCCAGATTGTCTAGAATCTTCCCTGGTTGTCTAGAATCTTCCCTGGCTGTCTAGAATCTTCCCAGATTGTCTAGAATCTTCCCTGGCTGTCTAGAATCTTCCCTGGCTGTCTAGAATCTTCCCTGGCTGTCTAGAATCTTCCCTGGCTGTCTAGAATCTTCCCTGGTTGTCTAGAATCTTCCCAGATTGTCTAGAATCTTCCCTGGCTGTCTAGAATCTTCCCTGGCTGTCTAGAATCTTCCTTGGTTGTCTAGAATCTTCCCTGGCTGTCTAGAATCTTCCCTGGCTGTCTAGAGTGTTCCCTGGCTGTCTAGAATCTTCCCAGATTGTCTAGAATCTTCCCTGGCTGTCTAGAATCTTCCCAGATTGTCTAGAATCTTCCCTGGCTGTCTAGAATCTTCCCAGATTGTCTAGAATCTTCCCTGGCTGTCTAGAATCTTCCCTGGCTGTCTAGAATCTTCCCAGATTGTCTAGAATCTTCCCTGGTTGTCTAGAATCGCAGCCCCAGGGCGCCTACCCATGTCGGCTGCCCTTCGGTCTTTGCTGGGGCTCCATGGACTGGACAAGGACAGCCAGCCCTTCCGTGACCCCCTCCCAGTCCAGGGAGCCATTAGGGGAAGCAGATGGGGGAGGGAGGAGAAAGGAATGGTCGCCCAGGTGAGGATGGGAAGGCAGGGATGGGAGCGGAAAGGATACCAGCGAGCCAGAGCCCCGGGGCCGAGCTGCTGCCGTGAGACTCGGGCTCAGCTGCCTGGCTGTGCTGCCCGCTGTGTGAGGGTTACAGCAGGTGTCCCCATTTGACAGATGGGAAAGCTGAGGCAGACAGGCTCAGTAACCGGCACGTGGTCCCATAGGCCAAGCCCAGGGCCGGGGAGCTGGGCGCGGGCGGTGCTGTCACCTTGGACAGAGGGCAGGGGCACAGAGGGCAGGGGCAGCAGAGCGGGCAGCAGTGAGAGCTCAGACACGGCCTGGAAGGGAAGGCCCCGCACAGACCGGGGGAAGAGCATGGCGGCTGAGGACACGGGCAGGAGCCGGAGGCAGGAAGAGGGATGTGCTGGGCTGGGAGAGGGTGCTGTTCTCGTAGGTGGAGAAGCAGGGCCACGCCAGGGGGCAGGCCTGGTGGTGGGGGGTGGGGGAGGGAAGCCCCAGGACATGGGAGAGGAGGCAGAGGCATTGGCAGAACGGGAGCGGAGAACAAGAAGGTGGAGGGAGGCGTGGAGGGGCCCTGGGCCAGGTCCCTGGTTCCACTCAGAGGACGGGGTGTGTGTGTGTGTGTGTGTGTGTTCCTCTCTCCCCTATGGGCTGTAAATTAGCTGGGGCTGAAGGGAGCCTGGGTGCGGACGGCCGTCACCCCTGCAGGGTCAGACGGGTCAGTGGGAGCTGACCGCCTGGCGCGTCTGGTGAGCCGGGTCTGACACGCCTCCGGGGCCTGGGCGCGGCCGAGGGCTGGACGGCCAGCAGGCGGGGAGGCCGGTGGTCCTGGGGGGGGGGGCAGCCAGCCGTCTCGGGAGGCCCAGCAGGTGCCTGGCTGAGGCGTGTGTGGAGGGTTAGGGCTGGTAGGGGTTGCCTGGGCGCAGGTGCCCACTCACCAGTGGTGCCCTCGGCGACGAGGGGGCCGTGCCGCCTCTTGCTGGCGATGCCGAACAGACTGAACCTGTAGGTGCGGTCGGCGTCCAGCGGGGAGACGGTGACCGAGCGCTCCGGCCCCTCCACGGGCACCGTCTGGGGCCGCCCGTCCCTGTCCCTGTACTGCACCACGAAGGAGTCGAAGCGGCCCTCGGGGACCGTCCAGGAGAGGCGCAGCGAGTGCGGGGTGGGCTCCGTCACCCTCAGCGTGCCCAGGCGGGGCGGGGCCTCCGGGCTGGGCTCGCTCCGAGGCACTGGGAGGGGCACAGAGAGGCGGTGAGCGGCGGTGAGTGAGGGGTGCACTGCGCACTCTGCTGCCCGGCTGTGCCCGCCACAGGCTGTGCCCGCCTGGAGGGAGGGCACCTTCTGCACGAGGGGCTGGGGTGGCCCAGGGGGAGGGGCCTCAGAGGCGAGGGGCCCAGGAGCCCTTTGCCGGTCTCCATGACCAGGGGTGCGGCCGGGCTGCCCCTGCTTCCAGCCTCACTACCATTCACTAGCTGGTTCCTCCGGGGGGGTGGGGGTGGGGGGAGGGTCGTGGAGTGGATGGTTGTGGGGAGCCTCCCACACCCGTGCTCTGGGCCCCACATCCTCCTCCTCTCGTCTGCCCCCATCCCCACCCGGCACTCCATCCCAGCACGGATTCCAGAACGGGAGGTCTACCCTGGTGGCAGCCTGTCTGCATCCCAGCCCCCCACACCCCCGCTGCAGGACAGTGCTGAGCTCCCTGCCAGCTCTCCCCAGGGCAATCTGAGCCCCCCTCTTACCCCCCAGCTCTCCCCAGGGCAGTCTGAGCCCCCCCCCCAGCTCTCCCCAGGGCAATCTGAGCCCCCCTCTTACCCCCCAGCTCTCCCCAGGGCAGTCTGAGCCCCCCCCCCAGCTCTCCCCAGGGCAGTCTGAGCCCCCCCCCCAGCTCTCCCCAGGGCAGTCTGAGCCCCCCCCCCAGCTCTCCCCAGGGCAGTCTGAGCCCCCCCAGCTCTCCCCAGGGCAGTGCTGAGCCCCCCCCCCATCTCCCCAGGGCAGTGCTGAGCCCCCCCAGCACTCCCCAGGGCAGTCTGAGGCCCCCCCCAGCTCTCCCCAGGGCAGTCTGAGCCCCCCCAGCTCTCCCCAGGGCAGTCTGAGCCCCCCTCTTACCCCCCAGCTCTCCCCAGGGCAGTGCTGAGCCCCCCCCCCAGCTCTCCCCAGGGCAGTCTGAGCCCCCCCCCAGCTCTCCCCAGGGCAGTCTGAGCCCCCCCCCAGCTCTCCCCAGGGCAGTCTGAGCCCCCCCCCCCAGCTCTCCCCAGGGCAGTCTGAGCCCCCCCAGCTCTCCCCAGGGCAGTCTGAGCCCCCCCAGCTCTCCCCAGGACAGTCTGAGCCCCCCTCTTACCCCCCAGCTCTCCCAAGGGCAGTCTGAGCCCCCCCAGCTCTCCCCAGGGCAGTGCTGAGCTTGAACTGCTAGTCTGTGGACACCGTAGCTCTGAATCTGGCACGTCAGGCCTCGCCCCCGTTTGGACACCAGGGTGCCACTATGGGGGCTCGGCCCCTCTTCCAAGCCACCCTCAGGCTTCCCTGTGGGCGCCCGCAGCGCTGGCCATCCCCAGGGTCCCACCGGCCCACCCTGCTCCTGTGCACTGGCACTGATGTCCCCAAACCCCCTTCAGGTCTCCCGCCCACAGCCCCCAGCCAGGAGGCGCAGTACAACCGCCGGGCGCTCTGAGTGGCCCCTCTGTGCCCACTCGGCGCCTATAGCCGGGCAGGCCCCCGGGGGCTTGAGGGTGGTGCCAGACACCCAGAGCCTCCGGAGTGCACGTGACCTTGGCAAACACTCAGAAGACCAAGCACAGGGCGCTGCTCCTGGCCCCTCTGCTCCTGGCCCCTCTGCTCCTGGCCCCTCTGCTCCTGGCCCCTCTGCTCCTTGCTGAGGGGATGGGATTTTCTGACCCAGAAAAGCCAGGCGCCTGAGCCCTTGCTCTCCTCACCTCCCACATCCAGACCCACTGCCCACCCCACCAGCCATTGCCCCTTCTGCCGGCTCCCAGGGAACTCACTCCTTCCTCCAGGGACCAGGCCTCCGTGGACCTTGTAGGATAAATAGAATTGCCTCTCTCCCACTGAAAACCCCTCAGAGTCCCCCCTGGGCAGTGCTGAGCCCCCCTTACCCCCCAGCTCTCCCACTGAAAACCCCTCAGAGTCCCCCCAGGGCCCTCCGGGAAGGCCCAAGCTCCCGTCAGACATGAGACCAATGCCCTCAGCTGCCCAGCGAGGAAAACAGACACGGCCCCTCCCACAGTCTCCCACCCGCCTCGCTCTCCACGGCTCCTGCCTGCACCGCCCTCCTCAGCCTCTCTGCCTGTTTCCCTTCGGATTCCTCAGGGACCCCTGCCTCCAGGCAGCCCTCCTGGCGTTCCCAAAGCACCGAGAACGTGGAGGACAGAGGGCGGCGGGCAGGCGGGAGTGCGGCCGCCTCACTCACCGGTCTTGGCTTCCGCCACCAGGGGGCCGTGCCTCTTCTTGCCCACAAACCCGTACAGGACAAACTTGTACTTGCGGCCCCCGTCCAGGCCGGTGACGAGGGCCGAGCGCTGCGGCCCCTCCACGGGCACCACCCGGGGCCGGTCCCGGTCCTTGTACTGGATCGTGAAGGAGTCGAACTCGCCCTGCGGGACCGTCCAGTGCAGGCGCAGGGAGCTGGAGGTCACGTCGGCCGCCGTCAGCTCGCCCAGGCGCGGCGGGGCCAAGGGCTGCCCCGGCTTCTCCCCGTCGCTGTCTAGAGGGGCGGGGAGGAGAGGGGGCACTCAACCCGGCCCTCAGCTCCACCGCCCACGGGCTCACTCCCCGCGGGACAGCGGGACAGTCCGCCCGCCCTCCGTTCCCCACGGGGGCCGCTGGGACCAGCCTTCCCGAGGAGCTGTCCCCCTCACGCCCCCCCCCCCCCCCCAGGTCCCAGTTTCTCTCCACACCGAGGTCATGGGGACGTTTCAGGCCCCCGTGCTGCTTCTGGACAGTTTGGAAACCCCTCAGTCCACCTGCCCGGCTCTCCCTGTCTCCCTCTGGTGAGCTGGACCTGGAGCTTTGGGGTCTCCTAAGCAGGGAACGTGAGAGCCGGGGACCCCAACGCCGGCCTTCCCTGGCTCTGCAGACCTGGCCCATCCCTGCAGGCCTGAGGCTACGGTGCTCCCTGCCCCAAGGGGCCTCCACCCCCGGAGGGCAGGGCCGCCACCTAGCCTGCCCAGCAGGGCGGCAGGGGCTGGGGGAGGAGCGGGGAGGAGGGGCTGAGGCCACATCAGAGGCCTCCCCACACCCACCAGAGCTCCATGGGGTGAGGCAGAGGAGTGACCAGGGCGACGGGGCAGGACTCAGGGCAAAGAAAGCCGCAGGGAGAAGCCTGCCCACCCTGACGCCCCGCCCCCTCCCGTTTTCTCTTCCCGGGAACTCCCCTCCCCTCGCTGCCATCGTTCCAGACTTCACCCATCCTTCCTCTGTCTCTCCACTCCTTTTCTCCGCTGTTTTCTCCCACCGCTCCCACCAGACAGCCTGCCTTCCACCCTCCCACCCCAGCCCGCCCCAGCCGCGCGGCCCAGGTCTGAGCAGAAGCCAGGAAGTACCCATAACGCCTTGGTAGATGAGCGGGGCAGAGGGCTCGCCCTCAGGGGAGACCCCACGAAGGGACAGCTCATAGGGCGCTCCAGGAGGGGGCGAGGGCAGCAGTGCCTGGCGGACATCCCCGGGCAGTATTTGGTCATGCGACCCTGGCCCGCCGGACACCCGGAGGTGCAGCTGGAAGCGGTCAAAGGTGTCAGGCTGGGCCATCCAGGCCACGCGCAGGCGCCCCGCATCGTCTCTGCCCAGCACCCTCAGCTCCCCCAGCTCCTGGGGGCGCTGCTGCAGGCCGGGCGCCTGGGCTCCTTGAGTCGTCGCGGGGCCGGAGGGCGGAGGCTCATCAGTGGCCCCCAGGAGGCCGGAGGGGGCGGACCCTGGGAGGGGCAGGGCAGAAAACAGGAGAGTCCAGTGTGAGAGCGGGATGGGGTCTGCCCGCCGGCCCCTGAGAGCCTGCACACCTCCCTGCCGCCTCACCCGCCCCCCAGCCGCGGCCCCACATTCCGCCCCGCACGGAGCAGACAGGCCTGCGGGTAACACTGAAGGGAGCAAAGTGCCCCCCAGACTCCCCCTCAGACTCCGGTGCCCTCCAGCCCGCCCCAGCCCGCCACGGAGCCCCCCTGGGAGGGGCTGCGCCTCCCGTCAGTCTGCAGCCGAGCCTGGAAGAAAGGGGGGCGGGGGGCGGGAACGGGCTGGTGAGAGGCTTCGGCTCCGCGGCTTCCGGGCCTAAGGGGAGAAAAGGTCCCCCCGGCCCCCCGCAGCCCGGCGCCGGCGGACACGGCTCCTGTGGAGAGACCGGCGGAGGGGAGCGGGGGTGGGGTGGGGGGAGCGGAGGGGAGCCGGGGCGGCTGCGATGGCCTTCCGAGGTGTCCCTCTGAGGCCGAGGCCAAACTGGGAAATGGCAACCACCGGCCACCGCGGGATCAGAGCCGGGAGCCTCGGCTCCTGCCCGCCGCCCTCCGCGAGCCCGCGCCCCCGGCCCGCAACTGCCCCGTGAGGGCCCCAGACCGGCTGTGCCAGGGGTCCGCCAGGCCCCGGGAGCGGAGGGGGTTGTAGGGGCCCGGGGGTGGGCCTGTGCTTCGCTGGGGGGACCCCGCGGAGAGCGGGAGGAGGGGGGGGGGCGCGGGTCCGGAGGCGGGGGCCGGGCCCCGCCCACGCTACCTGTGGTGGTGATGAAGGCGTAGGACTTGGAGGTCCGCCCGGCCCGCACCCCGTGCACCTCCACGTGGTAGGTGGTGCCGGGCAGCAGGCCGGGCAGGCTGGCGGTGCGCGCCGAGCCCGGCACGCTCAGCTCCCCGCGGGCGCCCTCTGCCGGCGGCTGCGGCTGCCAGCGCAGCACCACGCGCTCGAAGTGGCCGCGGAGCCCGTCGAGGGACACGAGCAGGGAGCCGTCGGCGGAGCTGCCCAGCACCTCGGGCTTGGGGTGGCGCGGCCCGGCCACCCCGTCGACGCCTTCGGGCGAGAGGCCATAGATGCCCAGGTGGGAGTCGGGCTTCCAGGGGCCGGCGGTGGGAGCCGGCCGGCGGGCCGGCGGGGCGGAGGGGGCGGGGGAGCCCGGGGAGCCCGGGGCGCCGGCCGCGCGCCGCCGCTGCAGGTAGGCGTGGATGAGGCGCGCGGCGGACGCGTACGTCTGGTTGGCCCGCAGCGGGAAGCCGCGCGCCCGCAGGTGGCGCTCCAGGTCCTGCGCGGAGCCGCGGAAGCGGCTCAGCTCGGCAGGCAGGTCGCCCCAGGGCCGCCGGGAAGGCGGCGGCGCGCCGGGCCCGGGCCGAGCCTCCTTCGGGCCCTCCTCCGTGGGCCGCGGCGGGCGCGGCGGGCGCGGGGCCGGGCCGGGCCGGGGCCGCGGGGGCGGGGCGGGCGGCCGCACCTCCGGGTGGCTGTGGTGGCCGGGTGCTGGGGGGCAAAGAGGGGAAGCGGGAGAGCCGTCAGGGGCAGCCCCCCCACCCCCCCCGCCGCCTCCTCCGTCCCCCCACCGGCCGGAGGCCGCATCCTGGCCGGCCCCACCTGGAGAGACACCGAGAGAAGGAGTTAGTGTCCCGGCGCCCACCCTCGCCCTCCTGCGCCCCGCGGCGCCCTGGAAGGAAGAGAAGCCCGCGGGCAGGGGAGAGGGAGCGGGAGGGGGGAGCCTCAGCCGGTGGGGTCCCTCTGTCACAGGAGAGAAAGTTCCAGCATCTGTCAGGAGACCAGGTTAGCGGGAAATCGCTGCCATGAGACCTCACCCCCAACGCGCCCCTGAGCCAACCGAGTGCTGGTCTCCCTGCCTAATGCCAGTGCCCCGCGCCGGGCCGCTCCGGGGCTCCCGGCTCCGAGGGGAGGCAGCTCCCGCCCACTGCTGTCTCCCTGGCGGGCATCCCCCCATCTCCGCCCCCCGCCCCCCCCCCCCCCCCCCCCGGCTGCACCTGCCTCTGGGGCCAGCCTGCCAGGTGCACTCAGGAGCTGCCAGCCTGGGGCGGGGGTGCCAGGAAGGGGCCGCGCACTCGGAAGCAGGCCGCCCGCAGCCGGCGAGCGTACCTGTGTTGGCCCTGACGGAAGCCGGGTAGCTCACGGCCCGGCCCCGCTCCGCCGTGACCGTCACCACGTACTCCACGCCTGGCATCAGGTCGGTCAGCAGCGTCCCGTCGGCGCCGGCGGGCACTTCCAGCCGCACCCTCTGGTTGCCGGCGCTGACATAGGACACCACGAACCGGTCCACCTCGGCCTGCGGGCGCAGCCAGCTGAGCGCCAGCGTGGTAGGCGTCACGGCCACCACCCGGAGGTCCTGGGGGCCGTCGATCACTGGCCGGGGAAGAGAGGAGGGGTCAGGCGGGCCTGGCTCCTGGCACCAGCTTTCCTGCTCAGAGCACTGTCCCGCCCGCCCGAGGCCTCCCCAACCCGCCAAGCCCTCCTGGGGGCAGAGTCCCGGCGGCCCCGCCCACAGCCCCCTCTCACTGGTGGTGATGGTCTTGGAGGCAGGAGGGCCCCAGTTGGTCCCTCGAAGGGCGCGGACAGTGACCTGGTACTCCTGACCCGGGGCCAGTCCTCTCTGGTCGTAGGCCGAGGCAGAGCTGGGCACCCGCGCAGTGAATGGCGGGCTGGCGCCCTCTGGCTGCAGGAGACAGAAGGCGGGTCGGGGCTGGCACTCTGCCCTGCCACTCAGTCCCCTTCTCCTGACTCCAGCTCCCAGCAGCGGCATCAGCTGGGTTAGGGTTAGGGTTGGGGTTGGGGTTGGGGTTGGGGTTAGGGTTGGGGTTGGGGTTGGGGTTGGGGTTGGGGTTAGGGTTAGGGTTGGGGTTAGGGTTAGGGTTAGGGTTAGGGTTGGGGTTAGGGTTAGGGTTGGGGTTGGGGTTGGGGTTAGGGTTAGGGTTAGGGTTAGGGTTAGGGTTAGGATTAGGGTTAGGGTTGGGGTTAGGGTTAGGGTTAGGGTTAGGGTTAGGGTTGGGGTTAGGGTTGGGGTTAGGGTTAGGGTTAGGGTTAGGGTTAGGGTTGGGGTTGGGGTTGGGTTAGGGTTAGGGTTAGGGTTAGGGTTAGGGTTAGGGTTAGGGTTAGGGTTAGGGTTGGGGTTGGGGTTGGGGTTAGGGTTAGGGTTAGGGTTGGGGTTAGGGTTAGGGTTGGGGTTGGGTTAGGATTAGGGTTAGGGTTAGGGTTAGGGTTAGGGTTAGGATTAGGGTTAGGGTTAGGGTTGGGGTTAGGGTTAGGGTTAGGGTTAGGGTTAGGGTTAGGGTTGGGGTTGGGGTTGGGGTTAGGGTTAGGGTTGGGGTGGGGTTAGGATTAGGGTTAGGGTTAGGGTTAGGGTTAGGGTTAGGATTAGGGTTAGGGTTGGGGTTAGGGTTAGGGTTAGGGTTAGGGTTAGGGTTAGGGTTAGGGTTAGGGTTGGGGTTGGGGTTGGGGTTAGGGTTGGGGTTGGGGTTGGGGTTGGGGTTGGGGTTGGGGTTGGGGTTGGGGTTAGGGTTAGGGCTAGGATTAGGGTTAGGGTTAGGGTTTGGGGTTGGGGTTGGGGTTGGGGTTAGGTGTCAGCTGGTACTGCAGAACGGGCGGACCGCAGGGAGCCGGCCGGGGTCACAGCACGCCCCGGACACCTCCAGGCCTCTGCTACCCAAGGTCCTGGGTGTGCGTGAGCTCACTGGGCCCCGGGGCCGCCTCAGAGGCCCCTCTCCTGGCACCGCCCTTCAGCCTGCCCCCCAGCTGTCTGCCAGGATGCCACTCACACAGCCCTGCAGCCCTGACTCCCTGGCGGACAGGCTTCTAAGCTCACTCTGGTGGGGACCGACGACGGGGACCATCTGCCCAGCCTGGCCTCCCGCAGACACGCCCGCTGCGGGACCCCTGCCCTGACCTCTCCCTCCAGGCACCTTTCTTGTCTCCTAACAAATAAGGCCCGTCTGCTCAGAGTCCCACCTGTCCCCCCTTCACACGGGCACGAGCTGGGCACGGAGACACAAACAGCTGCGGCCCTGTGCGCCCACAGCTCAGCTCCAAAGCGAAATGCACGGCCAGCGTTCGGCTTTACTGGAGCCAGAACCAGTCCCTGCGGTGCATGTCGGAGAGGACAGCCCTCCCCCCAGTGCGCACCGTGGTCTTTACGGTCCACGCGGACCACAGGGGCCCGCCGGCCTGCCCCAGATGGGCCCGGGGTGCCAGCCAGCCAGGGGGGCAGAGGAACTGGACGTCTGTGAGCCACCCACCGCCCCCACCAGCTTGGATGGCTGAGGGGACGCCGTGTTCCGCCGAGCGGTGAGGGCTGTGATGGGGCGCTGCCAGGCGCCACACAGGACAGCAAGTTCCTAAAGGTGCTCTCCTAGCAGCTGGCCCGGAGCCACTCAGAAAGCAGCCAAGCACAGGCCAGCGAGAGGCCACTGAGACGTCTGAGCTGAGGGCCAGCAAAGCTTTGTCAGGTTCCCCTGGCTGACAAGTCCTGGGCATAGGAACCCCCCTTTCCTACTCCCCCCACCCTCTCCTGCTCCCCCCACCCTCTCCTGCTCATCCCCCCTCCTACTCCCTCCTCCTGCTCCCCCCGCCCCATCCTCTCCTGCTCTTCCCCCCCCTCCTGCTCCCCACCCTCTCCTGCTCCCCCGTCCCCACCCTCTCCTGCTCCCCCCGCCTAGGATACCCCAGCTGAGGGGCCCTGGGGCTGACTTCAACTAAAGGCCTATGAGATCCTCACCCTTCCGATGACTTATCTGTCACCCTTTATTCCCCAACCCACCACACACACATGCTCACACTTACACACCCTCACATACTCAAATACACATTCACACTCATATACACACACTCACACTTACACACACACTCGTATACACACACATATTCACACTCATATACACACTCCCACTCTCACACACACTCATATACACACATTCACACCCTCACATACTCTCACACACATTCACACTCATATACACACACTCATACACACACACCCTCACACACACTCACTCTCATACACATTCACTCATATATACACACATCCACACTCATATACACACACTCACACACACATTCACACTCATACACACATTCACACTCATACACACATTCACACTCATATACACACACTCACACACACATTCACACTCATACACACATTCACACTCATATACACACACTCACACACACATTCACACTCATACACACACTCATACACACACACTCACTCTCATACACATTCACTCATATATACACACATCCACACTCTCATACACACATTCACACTCATACACACATTCACACTCATATACACACACTCATACACACACCCTCACACACACTCACTCTCATATATACACAGGAGGGGGGGGAGTAGGAGGGAGTAGGGGGGGAGCAGAAGGGGGGAGTAGGAGGGGGGGAAGAGCAGGAGAGGATGGGGCGGGGGGAGCAGGAGGGGGGGAGCAGGAGGGGGGATGAGCAGGACACACTCATAAACACACACACACACACATCACACTCACATACTCTCACACACACATCACACTCATACACTCTCACACGCACTCACACTCATACACTCACACACACACCTCGGGTGCTCCCTGAGAATGGCTATGATGGCTTGTCCTTTCAGGGAGACAGGCCTATCCCACATCTCCTCCTCGCGGTCTACACGAACCTTTTCACACCTTCGTCCCTCCCGAGACCCCCCCGGGAACAGTCCCCTGACTGTCCCACCATCGGCACCTCCGGCCGCTCTGGGCAGGCTCTCTAGCCAGGCGCTGGCAGGTGGCTCTGCTTCACTGGCTGTGCGCGGCCAGTGTCTAACCTATTCTTGAAATCGACCTTCACCCCAGGTGGGGGACTCCGCCTTGGCTGGCCTTGGAGCATACATCCCTCTCCTCCCCCTCTTCAGGCCAAACTCAAGTACAAACTTTTCTGAGGCTGCAAGTCTGTGTCCCAGGGGCAGCTGGCACAGCCTTGGTCCCCGGCAGCACAACACACCCATACAGAACACCCAGACAGAACACCCAGACAGAACACCCCATACAGAACACCCAGACAGAACACCCAGACAGAACACCCCATACAGAACACCCAGACAGAACACCCCAGACAGAACACCCCAGACAGAACACCCAGGCAGAACACCCAGACAGAACACCCATACAGAACACCCCATACAGAACACCCCATACAGAACACCCAGACAGAACACCCCAGACAGAACACCCATACAGAACACCCCAGACAGAACTCCCCAGAAAGAACACCCCATACAGAACACCCAGACAGAACACCCAGACAGAACACCCAATACAGAACACCCAGACAGAACTCCCCATACAGAACACCCCAGACAGAACACCCCATACAGAACACCCCAGACAGAACACCCAGACAGAACACCCAATACAGAACCCCCCAGCCAGAACACCCATAAGAACACCCATACAGAAAACACCCATACAGAACACCCAGACAGAACACCCCCAGACAGAGAACAACCCATACAGACACCCCAGACAGACACAACCCCGACAGAAACACCCCATACAGAACACCCAGACAGACCCCCCAGACAGAACACCCAATAGACAGAACACACCCGACGAACTACCCACATACCAGAACCCCCAGACAGAACACCCCATATACAAAACACCCCAGACAGAACACCCCAGGACAGAACACCCATACAGAACACCCCAGACAGAAGAACACAGGACAGAACACCAGAACAGAACCCCCAGACAGTACACCCCAGACAGAACACCCCATAAGACACCCATACAGAACACCCTACAGAAGAACACACCCAGTAACAGAACCCCCCAGACAGAACACCCCAGAAGAACAACCCATACAGAACACCCCATGACAGAACACCCCAACAGAACACCCAGACAGAAAAACCATACAGAAACACCCCATACAAAACACCCCAGACAGAACACCCATACAGAACTCCCCAGACAGAACACCCCAGACAGAACACCCATACAGAACACCCCAGACAGAACACCCCAGACAGAACACCCCAGACAGAACACCCCAGACAGAACACCCAGACAGAACACCCATACAGAACACCCCAGACAGAACACCCCAGACAGAACACCCCATACAGAACACCCCAGACAGAACACCCAGACAGAACACCCAGACAGAACACCCCAGACAGAACACCCGACAGAACACCCCCAGACAGAACACCCCAGACAGAACACCCGACAGAATACCCCCAGACAGAACACCCCAGACAGAACACCCCAGACAGAACACCCCAGACAGAACACCCATACAGAACACCCCAGACAGAACACCCAGACAGAACACCCAGACAGAACACCCATACAGAACACCCCAGACAGAACACCCCCAGACAGAACACCCAGACAGAACACCCCATACAGAACACCCAGACAGAACACCCCATACAGAACACCCCATACAGAACACCCAGACAGAACACCCCAGACAGAACACCCAGACAGAACACCCAGACAGAACACCCCAATACAGAACACCCAGACAGAACACCCCAGACAGAACACCCAGACAGAACACCCCAGACAGAACACCCCAGACAGAACACCCCAGACAGAACACCCATACAGAACACCCCAGACAGAACACCCAGACAGAACACCCCAGACAGAACACCCAGACAGAACA